GGACGGCCAGGTCTAGGAAGAGTTCTGGTCATCCCAAACTTCTTCCATTTAAGGATTATGGAGGCCGCTGTGCTCTTAGGAACCTTGAGTGCTGCAGAAATTCTTTTGTAACCTTGGCCAGATCTGTGCCTTGCCACAATTCTGTCTCTGAGCTCCTTGGGCAGTTCCTTCGACCTCATGATTCTCATTTGCTCTGACATGCACTGTGAGCTGTAAGGTCTTATATAGACAGGTGTGTGCCTTTCCTAATCAAGTCCAATCAGTTTAATTAAACACAGCTGGACTCCAATGAAGGAGTAGCACCATCTCAAGGAGGATCAGAAGAAATGGACAGCATGTGAGTTAAATATGAGTGTCACAGCAAAGGGTCTGAATACTTATGACTATGTGATATTTCAGTTTTTCTTTTTTAATAAATTTGCAAAAATTTCTACATTTGTTTTTTTTCTGTCAAGATCGGGTGCTGAGTGTACATTAATGAGAAATAAAATGAACTTTTTTGATTTTAGCAAATGGCTGCAATGAAACAGAGTGAAAAATTCAAAGGGGTCTGAATACTTTCCGTACCCACTGTATGTCAAGGGATATTATTGTGAAAGGAATGGAATAAGTGGATCTGGTATGCGCTTCCTTTTTGTCAAGGTTTAAGAGAATTATAAAGTTTGGTATGTTGGTCCGGACTACAAAGCCTCCATGTTGTTGAACTATATTGTTCAATTGAACATGTTTGTTCCACACAAGGTGATTGGGTGATGCCTTTTTTGTGATGCAAAAACCCCTTTCGTACCTTGTTCCGAAAAAAAGTATGCAGCTTTTTAGCTGTGTACTATTTGCGGAGGACCCTGTCCGGGAGGTCTTTAACTCCTACCTCCGGAAGAACTTCTCTCACATCCCGAGGGAGGTTGGGGACATGGAATCCGAATGGACCATGTTCAAAGCCTCTATTGTGGACGCGGCCGCTAGGAGCTGTGGCCGGAAGGTCATCGGTGTCTGTCGTGGCGGCAACCCGAGAACCCGGTGGTGGACACCGGAGGTGAGGGAAGCCGTCAAGCTGAAGAAGGAGACCTTCAAGGCTTGGTTGGCCCAGGGGTCTCCTGAAGCAGCCGACAGGTACCGGCAGGCCAGAAGGGCTGCAGTTGCGGTGGTCGCGAATGCTAAAACTCGGGCATGGGAGGAGTTCGGGGAGGCCATGGAGAAGGACTTTCGGTTGGCCTCAAGGAGGTTCTGGCAAACCATCCGACGGCTCAGGAAGGGAAAGCAGGGCTTACCCCAGGCTGTTCTCAGCAGGGGGACTGCTGACCCGGACAGGGGACAACGTCGGGCGGTGGAAAGAGCACTTTGAGGAACTCCTAAACCCGACCAACATGTCCTCTGCAGAGGAGGCAGCGCCTGAAGATCTAGGGGGAGGCTCACCCATATCCTTGGCAGAGGCCGCTGAGGTAGTCAAAAAGCTCCTTGGTGGCAAGGCGCCGGGGGTGGATGAGATCCGCCCTGAGATGCTGAAAGCGCTGGACATAGTTGGGCTGTCCTGGCTGACACGCCTCTTCAATGTCGCATGGGGGTCGGGATCAGTGCCCATGGACTGGCAGACCGGGGTGGTGGTTCCCATTTTCAAAAAGGGGGACCGGAGAGTGTGCTCGAATTACCGGGGTATCACACTACTCAGCCTCCCGGGGAAGGCTTATGCCAGGGTGCTGGAAAGGAGGCTCCGACCGTTTGTCGAACCTCAGATACAAGAGGAGCAATGCGGATTCTGTCCCGGCCATGGAACAGTGGACCAGCTCTTTACCCTCGCAAGACTACTGGAGGGGTTCTGGGAGTTTGCCCAACCAGTCTACATGTGCTTTGTGGACTTGGAGAAGGCTTTCGACCGGGTCCCTCGGGGGGTCTTGTGGGGGGTGCTGCGGGAGTATGGGGTGCCGGACCCGTTACAACGGGCGATCCGGTCTCTGTACGACTGCAGTAGGAGCTGTGTCCGCATTCTCTGCAATAAGTCAGACACGTTCCCGGTGGGTGTTGGCCTCCGCCAGGGCTGCCCTTTGTCTCCGGTCCTGTTCGTGACTTTCATGGACAGGATATCTAGGCGCAGCCTGGGGGTGGAGAACGTCAGGTTCGGGGTCTCGGGATCGCCTCTCTGCTGTTTGCAGATGATGTGGTCCTGTTAGCCTCCTCGGATCGTGACCTCCAGCATTCACTGGGGCGGTTTGCAGCCGAGTGTGAAGCGGCGGGGATGAGAGTTAGCACCTCCAAATCTGAGGCCATGGTGCTCTGCTGGAAACCGGTGGATTGCTCCCTCCAGGTGGGGACGGAGTGCCTACCTCAAGCGAAGGAGTTCAAGTATCTTGGGGTCTTGTTCACGAGTGAGGGTAAGATGGAGCGGGAGATCGACAGACGGATCGGTGCGGCTGCAGCAGTAAAGCAGGCGCTGCACCGGACCGTCTTGGTGAAGAGGGAGCTGAGCCGGAAGGCAAAGCTCTCAATTTACCACTCGGTCTACGTTCCTACCCTCACCTATGGTCATGAACTCTGGGTCGTGACCGAAAGGACAAGGTCACGGTTACAAGAGGCCGAAATGGGCTTCCTCCATAGGATGGCCGGGCTCAGCCTTAGAGATGGGTAAGGAGCTCGGTCATCAAGAGGGAGCTTGGAGTCGAGCCGCTACTCCTTCGCGTCGAAAGGAGTCAGCTGAGGTGGTTCGGGCATCTAATTAGGATGCCTCCTGGACGCCTCCCACTGGAGATTTTCCAGGCACGTCCAACTGGGAAGAGACCCCGGGGAAGACCCAGAACACGCTGGAGGGATTACATCTCCCAGCTGGCCTGGGAACACCTCGGGATCCCCCAGAATGAGCTGGAACATGTTGCCGGTGAGAGGGAGGTCTGGGTCAGCCTGCTTGGCCCGTTGCCACCGCGACCCGACCCCGGATAAGCGGAGGAAAATGGATGGATGGATGGACTATTTGCCTTCGTTGTAAAAGTATTGTTTCGACCGGCTCGGGAGTCGCAACATATAGGAGGGACACAACACCAAGTTAGGTTAAAAACAACCACAGCTGCCAGTTTATTTACAGGACACAAGTAAACTGTAGTGTGCAAATCCCACTGCAGACCAGGGTCTGGTGCCAGGCAGATGAGAGAGAGCGAGGGCGGAGCAAGGAGGTGCTTATATAGGTAAACCACATCCTCATCCAGGTGCCCTCAATCACTTGTTAGGGAGCTGCACCTAGAAGTCAAAAGACACAGAATGTACACACACATACCCAAGCACAAACATTCACAGCAGGACATAGAACCATATGTAACAGTATTCAGGAAAAAACAACAGTTAATATATTGACATGCGCATTCATCGCACAGAGAAACTCCTCTGGTGAGAAAAGGCCTTTAGACTTCTCAGCACTGCCTTATGTACAAGTGATGGAGTGCTTGTTGGGTGGTGAAATGGTTTGAGTGGCATCAACAAAGAATTCCACTAGCTTAACATAGTTTTGGGTTATCGCCGGCTTTTCCCTAGGATCCAGGTTATTTTACTGCCCTTAGTGTCTCAACTCGACACAGAGGCCAAAGCCTGGTCATATCACCAATAACTTTATATAAATGCTCTGACTTCAGACTGCTTAAAAGCTTTCTCGTCAATATGCTGTTGTGCCAACAATATCCATTTGTTGAAATCCTTTTTGAGTATCGCATAAAGATAGTTTGAGTGTCCCAGTTGCCCTTCCTTATGATCGTAAGTGTACTTTCTCATTCTTTAGTTTTCTTTCTGGATAAGTGTAATTAAAACTGTCATATTTTCATAAATCCTCAGTGCCTTTTCTTTAAAAATCATCCACTTGCCGGTCGGACTGAATTCCCACTTGTTTTTGTTATTGCTGTATTTCAGATGGTTGGTCCACACATTCCTTCACTGGTTACCCGTTAGTGTTAGAAATGGTTTTAAGATTTTACTGCTCTTTTTGAAAGTCAAAATTACGACTGGTTACTAAAGGTGACCCGGCCTCTGCTGTCGAACTCCCTTCCTAGAGATCTCAGGCAGGCAAATTCAGTATCCTTCTCTGAAGACTCACTTTTACCGTTTGTAAAATCTGTAAGATGTAAAAATAAACCAATGTAAACTCGTGCTCCATCTTGTTTTACCTCTTTGATCCTGCATGTTATTTGCTTTCATGGTATTAATGTGGAGCACTTTGTTTTGAAAGGTGCTATATAAATAATTATTTTTACATGAGCAGAGAATGTAGTCGCTATCCCTCCGTTTTTGTTATCCGAGCTTCTTTGTTTACATAGCCAGGCCGGCTGCGTGTGCTTTTTGTGCATGTCAGTAAGCGTGCCCCAGCTGCAACTCTGCACTGCTGTCATACATGGCGTCCCAACTGACAGCGTTGTTGCTGAAACATAGCGCCCAACCTCCAGTTACCCCTCAAACTCCAACACTGTTGGCTCTGTCAGAACTTTTTTTTTTTAAGCATAGTGTGTTCACAGTGGAAAAGTGACAAAATATTAAGTGACTACCAGTATGATTTTTAATTTAGTTCATACTATATGTTGTTGGTATACAGTTTAGATTTAGGACACAGTTGGAATTGGAAAACTTATTTCAGAAGGCTACACTAGATTCTTAACAGTTCAGATCTACCCAGAACAAGTGTTTAAAACACAGTATTATGTCAAATCAGAAATGTGTTTCAGATTATGACTAGAATAATGTATAGTATCTGCAGTATAGCTTTTAGGAAGTAGTTTCTTCAACAGTACTGGAACTGATGATTCGTTTGCACAGCAAAGGATTATGAACAATAGTAGCTTAGCCAGCAAAGGTGCAAAGAATAGACATTGAAGGCCCCTATGCCAGTGGTACAGCAGGCTAACAAAGGGAGAGTGGAAAGGCACAGTCAGCCACTATGAGAAGCCCACGGTCAGCAGTAAAACCAGAATTAGACAAGAGGGACCAATACCTGAAAGTTTCTGAAAAATAACAATAAATCTGAGTCCATGGTGTGTGTAGATGAAATTCTTTATTATCATATTGTGAATACTTCAGACTTCTTCATAGATGGTTGTCACTCACGTTCAACATGACATTGGTATTGGACACATTATTTTTGTAAACATAGTTCAGGAAAGCCAGGGTGTATTTGTTCCCATTCATGTAACAAAGTAGCCCAGGGTCACACTGAAGAATAGTTTTTCTATATAGTTCATCTTAGCTATACATCAAACATCATTTTATTACAGTGGACAGTTACGCTTAAAATACTTTACATTCACGTTTTGTTATAAACAATTTGATGAATACAAGATTATACATAACAAAAGAATATATTTTTTATATTTTTATATTGTCTTATATATTCCACATAGTTTTTTTCTTTGTAGCTTTATTCCTTGCAGAAAGGGGTCTGTTATAATTTACGTTTAAATTTCAACTGAATTCCAATAAATAAACTAGAAGTGCACTTGGAGAGCACAGATCTCGGCCAAGGGCAATCTGCGTCAAAATTGAATGAGTTCTTCCATGGCCCATGTTTCACCTTTTCCACTAGTTTCATGAAAATTGTGCCAGTAGTTTTCCGTAATCCTGCTGACAAATCAACAAACCCAACTGAAAACATAACCTCCTCAGCTAAGGTATAAAGAGAAACTGAATAAGGTAATCAAAAACATTCCTAAAGTAACATATTGGCACTTCTAAGGTGATGAAAACATCACAAGATATGTTTCAAATAAATATATAAGACCAGTTATCATGCACTTAAGATAATGTGCAGTGAAGGAGGCATTTGACGGTGGTCACCCCTCCATGTACTGTGCACCAACGGCATACTGTATGATTGGCAACAAAATCCCAATACACATACAGACACACTAACTCTCTCTTTCGGTCTCTTTGGAGTCTTATACTCCTCAGAAGCACTGAACAGACACATCTGTAAAGTAAAAGCCACGCAACAACAATAATAAAAAAGTAACAGTTACGCCATTTGTGTTTTTTTCACCTTCAGTAAGCAGCCAGGCACTGACCAGGTTCAGCCTCAGTCTTTCTTTAGGATTAAGGCATTGTTGGGAGTCCGGCCTTTCAAAGCATAAGAGGTGAATGAAGTCTGCCTCCGTTCTTTTAAAGCTTTGGAGTGACGCATGCATTATTCCCTTTTTTGTAACGGAATGTGACATGAACGCATTATATAAGACCTACATGTAATATAACCCTCGCTAAGGAGCTTGACCTTGACGCACTGTTGACCTCCAGCTGTTTGACTTAAGTATCAAAGGACTAAGTGAAATTGAGAGATTGCCATCAACAAACTGTGGCTTGATTTGGTGGGTTCCTGAGTCAACACAGTTTAATTTCTTCCTGTACGGAGTATAATAAACATGGAGTGTCTCGCTTGATAAGGCACTGACAACAGAACGGCGAGAACAGAGACTCTTCCAATATTAATGTAATGATAAATAATAAGCTTAAAAAAAAGGTTAAAAATGGAAATATTTGGGTTCCCTGTATAATGGTACACAGTGTAATGGGATTGTTTTGGTGTTCATTTCAGTTTCTGTTCCTTCCAGGAGGTAATAATCACACCTCAAACAAAATCACAACTACAGTTATGATTAATTCAAATAGTATATAAAAAAAAAAAACACTGCCCGTGGGCAAATAACAGTACGCACATTGTCCCCCATGAGGTGTCCCTCCCTTATGAGCTGAAGCTGTTGAATGATTCGGAGTTATGCCCGCTATTATTTTGAAACCAAAGTGCTTAAAGCTACTGTTAACAAAGGCCTTGGGAAGTAAATGGACAGGGAGAGACTGCTGATCGAGGTTTGAGTCTGTTGTTCTACTTGTCTGTTTTGACCACTGGTGGCACACTGCAGGAACTCCAAACACCAGACGTGAGGATGGATGAGGGAATTGTGGGTGATGTCATCAAATGGCCAACCAATGCTTGAGCTGTAAAACAAGAGTCTGTTTTGTAGCTTAATGTATTTTATTCTATTTTAACCACTTCAACTGGTTGCAATTATGTTATTTTACAGTAGTTATATCCTAATTTAAAAGGCCACTCTTTTGAAATGGTTAATTTTCTTGCATGTGCAATGCTCAGAGCACAAGTCGACTCACAAACAATTAAATGTGTTCAATTCCATATTTATTGTAGCCATTTAGCTAGTTCGAATTAACACCGTCAACAAAAAGCACAAAAAAATTGGCCTTACTGTGAACTGCCTTATATTCCCCTCTGCCACCAAATGATGTTCATGTTCTGGAGTGATGCAATAGGCTATCCTCTGTAAAAGATAAAACGGCAAAAAAACAGTTACAACATTTCTCACAAAGCAAATGAGAGATATATATAGATATATATATATAGATATATATATATAGATATAGATATATAGATAGATATAGATATAGATATAGATATATAGATATATATATAGATATAGATATATAGATATAGATATATATATATATATAAAAAATACACTTGCCCTTCAATCTTTATTATCTCTGCCAGAAGAATCCTGCAATGGTCACATTTGCGCATGCATCAGTGTGCGCTTCTGTGTCTGTCCACGCCTAATTTCACATTCTGCTGCAGCAAACTCAAGTTCAAGGTCCTCTTGTGGTTATTGGAGACTCGCACTGTGTCCAAAAACTTTTATGGCCCATTTTACACTGCCTGCTGACTCCTTGCTCACTACTATTAACGCAGGGCATCAGCAAAGAGCCTTTGGGCCCCATGTGGCGGTGTAGCCTCCAGCCAACATAGGTGACCAAATTACTTTTCACATCTGCACATTCTAACGGAGCCAAAGCATTGTGGTTGCTATGAGGAGGAGACAGACAACTTCATAGGCGTTCAAATGAGTTATAGGAAAGAATGTGTGTCTTGAGAATAATCTTAAACCCCGAGTACCTACGGGAAATGCCATTGGGATGGGATAATTGTTACAGTAGAATGAAGCTGACACTGGTTGACCGCTGAGGGATGGAAATAGCTCTTTGGTGCTTTGATGATTGTGATCCTTTCATCTTAAAGTGTTTTCACTGTGCCAGTGTCATCAAGTTGAGAGAAGACGGTTCTCTTAAATCAAGATTGTTGTTTTGCTTGAAAGAACATACTAGATGTTCTTTTAACAATTTAGCTGTTTACCAGTACACCGAGATCGTATTTGTACCATATATTTAAGTATTTGTTACCATATTCTCTATTCTTCAGGCAGTAATTTAAGTTGGCGTATGACAATTTAATATTTACTAAACCATATCTATCTTACAATGTCTTTTTTTCCTCCTGTGTAAAACACATTTGAATAATATCACATTTAATTTATAGGCACCTTTCAAAACACAACAAGCAACAGCCTTGATTATTGATTGACTACCAAACATGGATAACTGATTACAGGCGTTGCTGAAGCAGCTGTTATCGGAGCAATTAGCGACGTGTTCAGCGACGTTATCAGACCTATGGAGTGGAAGTTTGAAGTTACGGTTTTTGCCTTTGAGGAGGATGGACACAAAACGGAGGACTTTTATTCTGCACACGTAAACTGCAAAGAAACAAAAGCATAAATGCTCTCCAGTACGACAGAGACTTCAGCCACCCGGCAGAGCTACGAGTGTGACGAACAATGAAACCAGGAGGAAATGGGTGAGAGACGTGCAATGACATTTATTGACCCGTAATCTAGTAAACTTTGTTTTGTAAGTGTTCATTTTGAAGTAAATGTGATGTGTAAGAGAGAGTTACAAGGCTGCAGGTCTTGCTCGATCTCTCCAAGTTTGGGGGGGGAAAAAAAAAACAACTTTCCACGAAATGTGTCTGAGTTTACAGAGGAAGATCTTTAGTATCAAGCACTACCTTTCATTATTAAAGACTACTATAATATTCTGTCGTATTTTCTGTAACAAAGCAACCAATCTACTTCCTGTTTACACTGGCACCCTTTTGCCCAGTGTATGTGAATAGTCATGTGATATTCCTTTTCAGGCTTGCTAGTATGGACGGAAATCATTTCGCAGACTATGCTGAAACGCCTGTGTGGACGAAGATTGTTTTTGTTTTAAAACACCGGTTTTAAACGAAAATGTATTTGAGTGGATGTAGCCTGAAAGTACAGGAAGGTGTGTACAGAAATTCAAAGGAGCAGAATTGTGAAAGGCCTTAATTAAAAGTGAGAAGCAGAATCTTAAAATTGATACGCATTTATTAACAGGGGAGCCAATGAAGTTGCTGAAGAACAGGGGTAAGTCATGTGATCTCGAGAGGTAGTTCTGGCAGGTGAATTCTGGACCAATTGAAGTTTATGAAGACGAGTAAGAATTGTCAATACATACACACATGCATACATACTGACCTGTTTGAATGTTCCTTGTACGCTGCAGAATTTATATATGGCATAGCAGGGGACAAACATCATGGAGGACATGGCCACACCCCAGCCAACTATGTTAGCCCAGTTAGGGAAGACGTAGTCATCATACTTCAGGCCTGACGATGTCACTGCACTGGCTATTACAACAAACTGATGGCGAGAAGAGAGGGGAAGGGAAAACGGAGACACAAGGAATGTTACATCTATTTGTATTAGCGCAACTTGTTTAAGTCACTTCATTAATATAATTGCAGTGCACATCCACAGATGCCAAAGGAAAAGGATTAGATCTAGGGCATCTAGCGTCGGAAAAGAAGTTCCCCTCAAAGAACTTGCCACAAGGCACACTGAGATTCAAACTGTCCTCCCTGATCCCACCTTTCCTCTGGGTACAAACAAGGAGCACCACTGCTGCACCCTGTGGTGGTGGGTGAATGCTTTCTCCTGTGAGCCACCCAATTTATTACGTTACTTTAATTCACTTTAGCTATTGATTCTTATAGGGATATAATTCTGATTATATTATAAATATATGCATCACTGACATATTTACTGTTGCTAGAATGAGTGATACCTCCATACAGCCAGTAGGCTTTTGTGAATGACATTTAATGGAATATGTCAACCGTTAAACAATTTTTACTGTCTAGGATCAGACATAATCCCTGTTGAGGAAAACCAGCCAAATGCATATACTTCAATGTTTTTTTTTCATTCCTCTTACCAGCAGAAAAGCTGGGCTGACAAATTTCCAGCACAGCCTCCAGTAGAGTCCTGGCTTGAAGCCCATCATTCGCTCGATATCTTCGCTGAAACGGTCCACACCTGGAATGAGCATGAAAAGTTACGATTGTGAAATGAAATTGGACTACACAATATAAATGGAGTATTTGGGGGGGAAAGGGAAATGAATGTAATGCCAAAGTGCTGTAGAATTTCATACCATAAAACCATGAGACTCCAATGGCCTCGATCAACACAGCAAATAGAATAGAAGTCCCTGCGGCATACTTATCCAACAGGGTCAGCACATAGATCCCTCCCTGCAGAGAGGAAGAGATTAGTTTGAGTGTGGTATATAAATCTTCACCTTTTGAAGAGAAGTGGACCCTTGTGTGCAGTCAAAAAGCAATGGCCTCTCGGACTTAATACTACTGTATGCTTGTTTGCCGTTTGAGGTAACTTAAGTGCACTTTGAAGAGTTAAGAGTAAACAAGCCTCACGCGGACGAAGAGCTGACTTTGTGGACATTAGAGATTTTATACAATAGATCTTTGATTTGTATCCAGAGTGGTACAATCTGTATTTGTGCCACATAACTAGCATGGGCAAGGCATCATTCACTCCACAATAATTCTGTTGATTTGATAAAGGAAAGAAACCATGTGAATCACTAACCCTTCTATCTGTAATCAGTAAGCATTTCCCCTTGGTGCTGATGCCATGTGAATGAAAAGAGACTATAGAGTAACATTTGCTTCCTGTATGTTACTTTAATTCAATTCTAATCTGTCGTGTGTCATACAATAGCATTTTTTGATCATTTCTTTGAAAGACGTGATGTTTTTCTGAAACTTTCCTGTGATGACAGTATATACTGAGACTTGAATACTTCCTTTCAGGCAGCAGCCACATGCAGTTCAAAGCACCCATTTACCATATTTTGACACTATGCCATCCCTACATGGTCATTATACCAAATACAATATATGCTGTGTCCAAGACAATTTTATAATAACTTATTTGTGCAAAATAATACAAAGCTTGATTTTGAGAGAAAACATGAAAACTTATATAGGCAGATATAAAAAGAAAGTACTTTATTCAAGTATTAGGTTTAAGTGTATGGCACTTTGAAACTTGATACTGACATTGGTAACGCAGAAGAGGGCAATCAGGAAGGTTCCAAAGGCTGTGGCGAAGGTAAAGACCTTCCTGTTTCTCTTGAGGAACTTAAAATCATCCGACAGGCCTGTGATGACTGCCTCCATGCCACCCATCTGGTGGACACAAACAGAGAGAGACACGAGGCTCAGAGATGTCTACATTGCAATAAAGTACAGGCATAAACATTGAATAGAACACAATAAAATAAACATACCTAGTACATTACGGTATGTAATACTAACATGTTCTTAATTTGATCTACTTGCTAAATGATTTAGAGGATAACTTAAGTATGTGGGGACATTTGCTGAGAGATAAGAGGGTATTAAACTGTCCTCTGTTTTAGTGCCAGAGTGACTCATTGGACAGATATTTGTTAAATTACTGCTGGCTTTTAAAACGTCAAAGAAAGAAGTTTTAGTTGCGGCAGAACATTTCGTCACTTTAACGCTGACCACACTAAAACATAGTTTACTACTTCTCCTATTTCTTAAATTCTACAACATGCCCACACCATCAGTCAAGAGTCATATTGGTTTAACACACTACGGAGGGGCTGGACACCCAGCTCACTGAACAGATGGTAGTAGACATCCAAAACACCAATGCCATTGATATTAGCATATTTAACAACACTTATTACATAATAGTCAGCCTGGATGGTCATTCAACGGTACTCATTTGTTAAGCATATTTTAATACTCTGTAATTATAAAGGTTGCTACCAGGGAAAGTACAAAAAAAACAACATATCACACTTGACATTTATTTAGTGCACTTCAGTTAGAAGACATGCTAAAGTGTTATTTACATGTCATAGTTAACTAATAGTTTCCTTGATATGTCCTTAAAATCAAATTTGTGCTTTGTTGTTTCTCAGAGATGAACTTGCACAGTGAGTATGCAATGACTATTATGTTGCAATAAATGTCGGGTTTAATGGGCGACTCAGTGAAGAGAGTCTTCCAATATGATATGTGGATATCATTACTATCCTATATACTATAGGGGTTTTAATGTGCACTGTGTCTGCTCTGTACATGCACAGTAAACTCCCTTCACTGTGTTTCTTAGCACAGGGAAAACCACGCCTTGGTTAATAAAGAACGTTTTTCAATTTCATCTTGTAAATTGCTGGATTTAAGTTTACATACTCCAACCTGTACAAAAAGGTACTGTATGAATGTATTTCATCACGAATATTTCACCACTTAAATTAAGTCTTATTGTTGCATTATGTTTTTATAAATGTTCTACCTGCTAAGTTTTGAAACTGCAAAAAAATGATTTTACTTCTCGTCATAAGAAAATGATTTGAGTTCTATGGAGTGGTTGTTTGGGACTCACCGCGCTGTCAATGCCCAGAGTCAGCAACATGATGAAGAACACGATAGCCCAAAACGTTGAGCCAGGCAGTGTAGAAATTGCCTCGGGGTAGATGATGAACACCAATCCTGCCCCTGTCCATACACACACAGAAACACAAACGTTATGGCTTTCATAAACACGATTTACAAAGTGCAAATGTTTGCAGGATCAAACAGTGTATAACTAAATTGCATATCAAGTGAGAAAAAAAGATTCAAACTGGTAGTGATGGTGAGGTGTCTCAGACACCAGGACTTACCCTCTGTTGCCACATCTTCTATTTTTACCCCATGTTTGTGAGCCATGTATCCAAGCACAGAGAAGATGGCAAACCCTGAGAAGAAACTGGTGATGCAGTTCACAGTGCTTGTCAAGAGAGCATCCCTAGAGAAAGAAAACATAACCGCAAAAACATGTTCAAAAGAAAGCTGGGTTTCTTTATTTGTACATCTTCAATTTCTCAAGTCCACAACAGTCCAACCTTGAAAGTCCACGTTACCAATCTTCTACATTTGTGTTTTCAGGCGTAGTTTGGATAAGGAGTCGCCAACTTTATTTTTCTAACTGTCTCTTGTTGGGAGACATTAAGACAGTATCCATTCATTTGTCCTGTTTTTGACCTGGAGCCACGTGTTACCTTTCAAGTTTTCCATGGGTCTATCGTTGGCCAAACACTGTTTTAGAGGGAATATGCAGGTTAAAGTGAAGCATTTGTCCTCTGCTTCTGTTGGTGATTTGATCAGTAATTATTGTGCTGTTCTGTGGCCACTAACGTGCTGTTGTCTGACAAAGATTTATTTTATTTCAATGATTTATCGTAACCTTTACTATGACTTATTTCAATTAGTTTTAACTTTAGATAACAGATTTTAGTAAAAAATATTGCGCTCTATTACGAAAATACAGACGGGGCGTATTGAGTCCGTCGGGCAACACAAGACCTGTTTTGCCTTGGTGCATTGGGTTGTCTTATTTTACAGGTAGGTGTGATGGACACACTGCGGCACACTCACTGCACTATACCCCTTATGCAGACTTCCTCCATCTGTCTGGGTAATCAAACAAAAGTCTGTTCAGTGCTCATTTTTGTAACAGCACCAGTTCTTCCTGGCTGCTGCCTTTCACCTAGTTCAGATTTTTTCATTTGCTGCATAATGTGAATCACACCTGCCGGCAGTCCACACCTACCTCTAAATAGGACATGAAAGGGGAGGATGGCGGGAGGCCCTGTTTGGGGATGAAGAAGGTGGAGGAAATGAGGACGGGAGAGTAGGGGTCCATAATGCTTATAACTTCCAGTAAAGCACTGATTTAGTTTGGAAGCCTCTGTGATGACACATTTCACCCGCTGGGAGATAATGTTTTTGATAAGAACCTTTTAATTTTTTAGAGAGCTGTTCTGCAGCAGCAAGATGATGTCAGCATTTGCAGTTTTTGTGTAGTTTCAGCAAGATATGTTTTGTCTAGTGGGTGTTGTAAATTGACAAAATTGAAACTGCTGTTCTGCCAACAGTGTGTTCCTCAAACGGCACCACTGCACCCTATTAATGTGGAAAAAGATAAGGCAAGCTCACAACCTCATGCCTGCTTTTTCTGAAGAAGAGCAGCATATGACAAACTAACATACAGCCTTTGGCTATTATCCGACAACCCTTCCTGGCCTGTATTTTATCTTCCCTGTTAACACCTGGCCATTGGGGTCAGCTGAACAGATCAGCATCACCTCTGCTGTTGCTTCGTGATCCAGTTACATGCTGGAAAAGGCTGGCTGCTTAAAAGACAGCAGGATGTTATGTTGCTGGGGGCTTGTTTTGGACTATCATAAAACACAAATAAAGTGCCAGCTCTTACCTGTAGCAATTGTTGTCAAATTTGTTATAACTGGCAAAAGCAATGAGCACCCCAAATCCTGCTCCCAGGGAGTAGAATATCTGGGTGGCAGCGTCAATCCACACCTGTGGCAAAAATAAAAGAGAGCTTGTGAATTCCTAAAAAATAGTTGAATGTAAATGCTAATGTTTTTTGAGGCCCATTGTTTTCCATTAGTCTGACTTTAGCTGTGTGGATTTCATTGGAAAAAAACGTGGCTCTGGTTTGCAAAACATGCAAATTAAGTCTACACATAAGTGACCATAAATGTTCGGCAAGTTGAAAATTACATCTTAAATATATACACTCATATTAATATACATACATTAAGTATGGGTAACACCAGCTGGAATCTCAGAGTTTGAGATTCTCCACCCAATTGCAGTGACCCAGAAAGAAGGCTCTCTAAATCCACAGACTCTGTCGCAAGAGTTGCTTGTACATTCTGCCCTAAATAGACAGAGCTGAAAGTCCCACGGGTTAACATAAAACCGGAGGTCAACAGCTAAAACGAAAATGTGAAGGTCTGTTACATATTCTGTATATAAGAAGTAGACTTAGTCGTTGTGATGTCTCCCATTGGTTTGTGGACTGTTTTGAAGCCTTGAGTTCAGCATTTTGGCCATCACCATCGTAGTTTTGGGCCATTGCCATCTTGGCTTTTTGCAACCAGAAGTGACACGAGAGAGTGGAGCTAATTTAAACTGAACATGCGGTATGATATTTTTAGGTGACACAAATGTTCTAATTAACTTTCATCAACTGAAAACACACTGAAATGGTATGATGAAAACACAAAGGACTTTGTCATTTTTTTACTCTAAATGGGACCATCATTTACTCAATGAACATCATGCTGAATTGAAGAAGACTTGAAAGTTTACTGAGGTAATAAATCAAGTGAGAAGTAGGGTCATTTTCTCAGACTTTTATACAATCCAACTTCTTTTTGCAACCAGTCAAGTCGCCCCCTGCTGGCTGTTAGAAAGAATGCAAATTTCGGACAATTCGGCATAGTCTTTACTTTTCTGAGCCGGAGGTTGCTGCCTGATGTGTCCCCCAAATTTCATACTGTAAGCAAGAATTGTTCCTTGTTTTTCATCAGTAGTCCCATGAAAACCCATTAAATTCAATCTTTGAGTGTTCTGTGTTTTATGTAGCAAAATGAGACTGCAATTTGCATTTCGCTGAGCAATCCTGTTGTACTATGACAATAAAATAACCTTGAGATTTTTCAAGGATACAAGGTTACAAACACCCATGGATGGTTTGTGAACAACAAGTGCTGTCTCTAACCTCCAGATTGTTGAGCCGCTTGAAGTCAACGTGGAGGTAGGCCCTGATGCCGTCCATGGATCCTGGTAGAGTTATGCCTCGGATCAGCAAAACAAAAAGGACTACATAGGGCATGGTAGCTGTGATGTACACCACCTGAATACACACACACACACAGATAAAGGGGGACAAATATATTAAGTAGTCCCCCATTTCATTGAACAGAATGTGAATGGCAGTATACCTTATAAAAAGTGAAAAAATCCTACCTCCTCTTACTGTGACAAATAGTTAGAGGGTTAAGTAGTATGTTGTAAGGCTATGTGCTACACTAATACAGTACCAACAGTTTATAAATGTTCAAATGTATTTATTTTTTTGAAATCAAAAGAAGTAGACAACGAGAAAGCGACAAGGTTTTTTCTTGTCGAGTGGTCTAGGCCTGTACCTTCCCTGAGGACTTGACACCTTTCCACAGGCTGAAGTAGAGGATGAAGACCACCACGAGGAGACACAAGGTCAGCTCCCAGCGAGGCAGGCCCAGGTCATTGATACCCGTACTCTGATGGAGATGCAGCACACCCCGTCTGCAGAAAGAGATATGATATCTAAAAGACATTCCTGTAATTCTGAAATACTGTCATTGGTGATAAATCAATAATTGCTTTGTATTAATAGATGACAAAATAGTGTCATGATTCACAGGACTATGATGAGCACTGATGAACATGACTATGTCAGCGATGCATTTTCAAGCAAAACAGCTTTTAACACTACTCTGCACAAATAACATATCATTGTTCTACGGTATGGCATGTTATGTTACATGTTACATCTTAAAAGTTAGTTGTTTTTGTCAAACGGGCCCACCCAGGTTCTTAGCAGCTGGAGTCTTAACAAAACAGGCCACATAGGTGTCTGAAGATGGGGGATGACGTATTGGACAGAGGCTGTAATCAGATGTATTACAGCACTCTACCTTAAACCAACATTTCCAATCTGACAATGCCACGTCACCCCAGGTCATCATTGGCCAAGGTATTCAGTTAAATGACTTACAACTAATTAATTCTATTTCAACACTAATGTAGATTAAATACATTTTTCCAAAAAATGTAAGTAAATATTATTCCTGAAAAATGTTGTCTTTTCCATCCCTATCCAAATATTGTTTCCAGCTTCAAGCTCAGTCTATGAATGTCTGCTCAGAGTAGTTGAAGGAAGCCCACAATTTAAGATTCCAATAGTGGGGGAGGGGCCAGATTCATGCGATACATTCACAAACAGTTGTTGGGGCCACGTTGGTCACAAGCTGCTTTTGCTTACCTTTCATCTGGTGACAGTATGGGCTCACTTGCATTACTTGTCTTCTCAAAATATTGTTCAGCCTACTGAAGGAGGACTATGATAGAAAATGGTCATAATACAGGAGAAATGTTCAAAAGAGTAGGAACTTTGCTTATTCACCGAGATAAGACCGATATAAATCTTTCCGTTCAATACGGCCGAATTATACGGCATACAAACTGCTTCTTTTCTGGCATATCCGTGCCTTAACTATTGGCAGGCTTACTGTCTGCTTGAAGCTGCCGGGTGTGCTACCATATGACCAGCCATTATTGGTTGTGGTCAGTAGCTTATGGTTCCCTTTTCAGAGCTCAGCCCAAACCTGGGGGGATCCGGGGGAGATGATTTTTTTCCAATTTACCGAAACTTTATGAACTATTTTCAAGCCATCCGATATTAAAATGCCTAAAATCTGTATATCATTTGGGGAAAACATGATAGTTGCCAAGGGGAAAAAAATATATATTTTTTTATCTTCATCATTCTGAAACCACAACACTACAAATGTTCAGGATGGCTAATTTTCACTCCTGCCACCTAAAAAGAAGCAAACATTGGCTGCTGCTAATATTTTTAAGTTGAACTACATAGGTAAGGGATTAATGTAAACAGCATTATTAATCTTAAAACCTATTTCTGTTATACTATGCTGGAGAAGAGTTCACAGAATGACTATTTAGTTGACCAATCTCCTAAACTTGTATCAAAATGCGATTTTATAATCTGGGCTGCTGTCCAGCCAGAGAGCCTGAGGGGAGATGACAAAGTTGAGATTGAGAACTTGAGAAAACAGGGAGGGTGCAGCTGCAGTTTGGAAAATGTGTTCTTCGGACTGTCTGAAGGTAATTTCTTCATCATAGTTGGTCATCTGTCAATTCCAACAGAGAACATGAAAAACAAGCTGCAGCATACAGTGTTCCTTACAACGACTTGTATTTTATTTGTATCTGTAAACTATTGAAAAGCACCTTTGTTCCCCTGACATTTGTCCTGAAACTTTCCTCAAAAGAAGATTCAATTAAGTCGGCATGTGTTGTTATGGGTTGATAAACGGCAGAACTGGATTTTGTTTGAACGGCCCGAGACAAAAACACCCTCAGGAACACGCAAACTGAAGTATGTTCAGATGTACAATCCGAAGGGACCAAGGGATCTGTGAAACTCCTCTTCAGCATTTATTCATCTTTGGCTGATAAAGCTACAAGGTCTTCGGGGACGCAGATAGCGACGTGAAGACATCAGTTATTTGGGGAGGAAAATTTAGAGTCCATGCTCTGACCTAGAGGCCTCGTGTTGGTGTTCTGTTGTAATGCCTCAAGGCCACCTTGTTCATCCGATAGCATTGAGTGCACTGCCAGTAAATGCTCGCTATAACATCAATCCAGCTCCCTTTGGCCCAGTTACTCTAAACAGATTGACTCTTATCGTCACTCAGCGAGCTGGTTATGCTGCTATCCTAACACTCAATGTTGCCATTAGTTGGTCTCTGTATACTTTAGGCTGCCACGCTGGCATGTAGCCCGGTCTTAATGTTGGTTACAGAATGAGAAATAGGGCATTCAAAAAGTATATAAATAAAAAGGACTACAGACTACCAATTCAGCAGTTCAATCTCATTTATTTAATTAATAACAAATGTATTCTACTTGTTATTTTTAAAAGTAATTCTACCAACAAATGTGTCAAATTACATGCGAGATTGAAGTGAAAGCAATCTTCCCAAGTGTCTATGTAATTAGATCTTTTTTTGTTTAAATGAGGGCCATCTATCAAGTCTAGTTATCCTTGACATGAAATCAGATGTGGTTGCTTCAGGCTCAATCCAAATAGAAAGGATAAGGGTGCATCCTAATGAGTTGTAATGAGTTGGTGTTGGCATTGTTGTCATTTTAACAATTATTTTTATTTATTTTTTCCTATTCCTGAAAACTTGACTGAGTATGCCTGCCAGCAGGGAGACTTTCACAACAATCCCAGTGTTTATCCATCTATATGCAATACTTTATTTTGCATTGCGGGACAATTGCACCCACTTAAAACCCAGTTAGTATGTACCATGGAATTGAGATTTGCAAGCTCAGTCTTCCTCAAAGACTGGGTCGAGACTCAGACGGGTCACAGGAGATTTAATTACGGGAGCCAATTCAATTTAGAGAATTTCTTTCATAGTCTGTCTGCAGTACACATTTGGGCCACATGAGTCTGAATCTTTGTATTCTTCTGATACTTGCAGCCTACTTACAACATTGAATCTAATATGAAAGGCTAGTGAACATTCTGTTTGTATTTACTGATGAGATAGAAAAAAACAAGAGCCTGTTAACTCTGTCTAAATGTTTGTCTAAATGTTTGTCTGTTCTCATTTATGAAGTACATAAAACATGTACATGTCAGAAGGCAAAAGTGTAAATAGCTGAGCTGACGCTTTTGAAGGCTGGATAGAAAGCCGGGTGTCATAGAGATGAGTGAGATGCGATCGTCGTTTAAATATGGGATATCCGACAGTCTCTACTTTGAAGATGTTAGGTTGCATGCATCAAAAGTTGCAGAAACGATTGTGTAAACAATGTAAACCCTGCTAATTTTCTAATAATCATCTAGACAATTACTGCTTGGAGTGGACGTGAGTGACAAATTGATGGTTTCGGAAAGGGGGAGGGGGGTTTCCAAAGCTGTTCAACCATCCGACAAGCACTTCTGAAGAAGCACCCTGGCCGCTTAAGAGAGCCCATCCCTGCTGCTTCATGATTTGTATGCCTTTAAGCGATGAGACAGCATTGCTTAATTCTGTAGAGGTCATAGACATGATGCTGTGATTTGGAAATTACATTTCTGCAGGTTTCTTTGAACTCTGGAGGCTGCACAATGAAATTAATCACAGACAAATGCCCAGAACTCTTGTTTTCAGGTCAGTCTTTTTGGCAGAAGCCATGTTTTTGGCTGTCTTCACATAGCCCCTTCCACTCCACATCCTCCAAAACAAGCCAAGTCACATGATGTCACACCAGCTTGTTCTGCAGTGATTTTGATTTGACTTAATTTTTTAGTGCGTCATAAAGCAGCATGTTGTGAACATAAACTTGTATTGGATAACTTAGGGGAATAAACTGGAGGGTTAGTTGTTCCTCATATATTTGTTGATGAAGTAGCATCTTTTTAAACATTAAATACTTTTAAATACTAGTGAATACCTTAAGATTTTGTGAAAGGTAGTGGGGATACATTTTGGATTACCAGTTAGCTGTTAGCTCATGTTCTAGTGGACGGACCACACAAGAGTCACTTAGGAGGACAGCCTATGATGGAATATGATGATCGCGAGTTACAGTATAACATATTACTGTTGATGGTAGTTACAAAAAACTTGGGTTTGAACGATCATGTGTTTGGGTGTTTTCAGGTTTAAGATATGTACATCTTAAAGATATAAAACAAATAAAGAATGAAATATGCAAACATTTGTAGGATCCTGTGTTAACTAAATACAAGAAAAAATATAAAAACATTTATGTTTAATAATGCATGGTTGGGTTCATTCTTTCCTAAAACAAGGCCGCTATGATCAATATTATTTTTGGATGAAATAAAAACATGAATGTGAAAGGTGTCAATGTAGTGACAAATCCACAGAGAATTATTGGCCGACTCCCTTCAGCCTCCAGGTGGCCAAACAATTTATTAACACCAGTTAAATGATATCCGAGTCACCAAGTAGTCTCATCTTTCTCTAATGCAATTTTCCTGCACAATGCTATTATCTGTAGTCTCAGTAAAATCACAAGTCGTTTGAAATGAACCTTGTGATCGTGCACAGTACGGGTGTGCGATAATGAATTTCCCCACTGCGGGACTAATAAAGGATTATCTTATGAATAACCGACTGTACTGTAAATGTTAGGCAAACATCAGCTAATATATGACCTTAGTAGCAGTGAGCCTAAACAGCTGTGGTGCAAACTAAGAACTGAAGAGTTTTCTATTTTAAATTAGTTTTGCTTTAGAATTTTAATGCAAACTGTACGCTCATGACAGCTGAGAACAGTAGGCTCAAGATGATTTGTGGATGTACAAGCGTCTACGAGGTGAAGCAAGGGACTGTTTACTCAGTTGGCCTCGCACTCATGCTGTGCCTTGGCATTGCTCCTGCGGTCAAAGCTAGCCGGACGCAGGAGGATTTATTGTCTGCGACAGATCCTAAGCCCATGTAAGATCTGTTTTGAAGTATCCTATTGTTTGTCGATACACATCTACTTCTTTTTTTTATTTTCCCCCATGAGTGAAGTGTAATCGTCCACCTGGAGCGTATAGTCTGCCTTCTGGTTTTATGCACCATGTCTGCTCTTTGAGCAATATCGGATCACTTTTTGGAAAGTATGCCAAAATTCACAAGTCTGGAGCTTTGATGCAAATGCTGACCTCTTCATGTTGAGTAAAAGTATTTACTTATTTTGAAAATATGCGGGAGAGTTCCTGGAAGTTCTTATAAGATAATCCAGGGATCCTGATTAAATAAACCGTACAAGACAGTTCTGCCCAGGAGAATGGGAGTGGATCTTTAACAAGCTCAATTATTTGCCGGGTTGCATGCTTGGTGTATTCTGTGCGTCACGCTTGGCACGTGTACCGTGTACTGTCCAAGTCACTTCACAGACTTCATCTGGGGCTGCACAGTCGGTCTTTATAGAAGCTGGGGAAGAACCGTCTGTCTTTGAAGTATAAACAGATGGAGCTTTTTTCATGCTCTTCAAAGAGTGCATTTGAACTCTTTATGTATACTCCTTTTATAGTGCAAACATTGGTAACACTTGCTATGACGCCCATGTCTATACTGCATTACAATCTGCTTATAACACTGTACAATTATAGTTATAAGCACTCATTAATATTCATAATGCTTAATAGCAGTAATCATAACACCTTATAAAGCACCTTATAATGACTTATAAGGTCAAGTATCATAATACTTGATAATGGCTGGTCACTCATTTGTTTTGTACAAGAACAAAAAAGTATTATAATTTGCTTTAAGTAAAGTGAAACAAATATCATTAAATCTATGCGCGATCAGTACAGTTATCAAGTATCACGATACCTGACCTTATGTCTATTTATTATGCTTTATAATACATTGTGGTTATTTAATTATGATTGGAAAATGATATTTATGAGTATCACAATGCAGTGCCCATAAGTAGATTATATAATATATACTGCTATATAAGTATGTTCATAATGCATTATATAAATGATCATCATAGAAAGTGTTACCCAAACATTTATGGCTGGTTGATTTTAAGTTTAAGTGCCTGTCACTCCATGCGGATACCGGTGCGCTTGTTTCATGGAAATGTACATACTGTCAGAGTGTTATTCAGAAAGCACTCAAAATAAACATGAAAGCATCACTTCCATCTCAGCAAAACTGTACCAAGTGTCCAAATGAAACAACCTTCACGAATAGAGAATGAAAAACATGGAAAAAACAACCTGCACACAAACTGATCGCCTTATGAAGACAGTGGCTGTATTTACATGCAGGTCGAAGCTTTCAGCAACCGTGAATGTCCTGTTGTCCAAATAGTGATGTCTGTCCATTTAACAGAGATTAAGATACCTGCATTTTGACATTTACCAAATAGTTAATTGGGTCTGATGCTTGAATAGGTGTGATGTTAAAACTTGATTACCTATTAACATGTTTTTTCTTAAGTTGCACAAAATGTAAAATCATGCCACGGCCTACATAGGACACGATCGGATAAATGAATTACTCTGAATTTCAGAAATCACTCACTCATAGTACTCTGCTGCCGGGGTGATCTTGTACTTGGCGTAAGACGTTCCATTGCCGATGATGGATCCGTTGAGGGCTTTAGGGTAGGTACAGTTCTGACTGTTCCAAACATTGTCACATTTGAGCCACGGCAGCTCATTGGTCATGGAAGAGAACAGGTAGTAGAGGGACCAGGCAATGATGACGTTGTAGTAGAAGCCGACATACAGGGCTATGATGATCACACTGTAGCCCACACCTGAGGAACAGAGTTATTATTAGTAACTAAATGATGGTTTACGTTCACACTGTGCAGCCCAGTGCAAATTCACGTAATGCATGTTCTCTGTAGAGACGACCATATTTGATACATTTTCTGCTGTTAACATAGGTTTCATAATGTGAACTGGTTCCAAATAATACTTATAGATACATGCTGCATCACAATATTGATGAAAAGAGTGTCCATCGAATGCCTCTATTTTGGTCTTCAGTTGTTTGTCTCATTACCCAGTCAATAGAAATATTGAAGAGCAAAGCTGACATCACACATCCTTGTGTCACACCTGTCTTCACTTGGAATTTTTGGAGACTGTTTCCAACCCTTCATGTGAAGTTGGTATAAATACTTTGTATCACAAGAACCATATCTTCAGGGACAATATACGCCAAAGGCTTTCACGATGAATGGAGTCAAATATTTTTTCAAAGTCAACAAAGTCAATATACAGTTCCCTCTGCCACTCTGTGCACTGCTCTATGATGTTACGTAACGTGAATATGTGATCGTTGCAACCTCTACCCTTTCTGAAACCTGCCTGTTCTTTTCGGAGATGTTGGTCTACAGCATCTGTTATTAGTTAATGATGATCTTTGCCATGATCTTACTTGGTATTGACAGATGTCTAATTCCACACCAGTTGTTACAATTTCTTAGAGAACCTTTCTTTGGTACTTTGATGATTTGGCACCAATTCAGGTTTACGGGGAAGATCTCCTCAAAACTGACGAGTTCACATATTTGGGCAGCACTGTCAGACACACAGATAAAGACATCAAGAATAGTCTTAATAAGGCAAGGAACGCTTTCAAAGTACTGAATAACATATGGAGGTCACAGCAGTACACCATCAAGACCAAACTCAAATTGTATCAGAGCTGTGTTTTATCCACCCAATTGTACGGTTCTGAATGCTGGAGAATGACACAAGAATATCTCAACAGACTATCAACCTTCCACACCAAGAGATTAAGGCGAATACTTTACATTTTCTGGCCAAACACCATTTTAAATGAAGAACTGTATGACAAATGCCAACAAGAATGCATGGAGACCATCCTAATGAAGAAGATGGAGATGGATAGGACATGTGTTGGGAAAAGACCCTGCTGATATTACAAGAACAGCCTTACATTGGACACCAGAAGGGAAAAGAAAAAGAGGCCGCAAAGAAGCACATGGAGAAGAACTGTGGAGAAGGAAATGCAGAGCCTAAACCACTCGTGGAGCACCATCCAGTGACTCGCCCAGGACAGATGAGTGGAAGACTTTTGTTGCTGCCCTAAATGCCAGGAGGCATGTTACCGCTCCAGTAAAATTAGCCTAAAACGCCTATCCAAGGCATAACCAAAGTAAATTGAAAGCTGTTCTTGAACCATTTGGAGTACATGCATGGTTTAGGTCTCTTTTGAAAGGTAACACTCTGAAGTCTTTTCCCCAACAGTAAGAATCACTGTACGTGCTACTGGGATTGAGTAATAGAAGTTTGAACACACTGAAGTAGAAGGTTTTTATTTCCGCCTGAATATTTTTTTGCAAACAGATGCCTGCAGATGACTATAGCTGGGACTTATTAGCTGGAAAACACAATGGGACCACAGCATGAAGCCTTACCTAGTCCAAGTTCAAATTTGATAACAATACCACAGAAAATCAATATTTTAGGGTATGTCTAGGCCAGGGGTCGGCAACCTTTTCTATCCAAAGAGCAATTTTGCCCTATTTTCCACCAAATAAAATTTGTCTGGAGGCGCAAAAGCTATTTGATATCACAGCTTATAAAGTTGTATATATAGTTATATTATATATACAAAAACTATAGTTTGTTTTATTTATGAAAATATAGAACAAGAATAAAGACAATTCTTGACATTTTTTTGCAATTTTACCTGTTATATAACAATATCAAACTCTTATGAAGAGGAGAGTTTGCTGCAGCAGCTGAGAAATCGCTCTTTTTCGCTCATCTCCAGCATGACACTTTTCAGCAAATGCTGTGTGCTTGTTATGGAAGCATACAGTAAGTCAGCATCGTTGGCAGAAAGCAAATGAAGACGTCCACGCAGAGTTAAACTCTATTTTCCTCCGTGACTTTTCTTTTTTTGGATTTATCCATTGATAGTTTACAGAGGGCGGGGGTCTGAAAATCATGAGCCACCTGCAGGGAAAAGCGCTTGACAGGCGTAGAGCATTTAACTGCCTGTGGGAATAATTAACATAAAAGATTCTGTTCATTCTTGCTTATAAATTATATTCTCTCTGAACACGTTTCTCTTTTTGGAGAGAGTCATGTGAGAACTTCTTCAATTAGCGCAATTTCCCTGCTCTTCTTTTTATTTCCTCATCTCAGCCCCGTGTGTCACGTGTGTAAACCTCGCTCGAGTCAGGAAACTTGTCAGAATACCCATATTTGATTGGCTGAGCTGCATCACGTGATGTGATTTGCAATGCATTGGTCGGTGTGTTTCCTGCACCGCCGAACAAGTGCCGTAACGGCTGAAAAAGAGGCGCCGGTTAAAGTTTAAACTCGGTGCCCAATATGTATAATTCCGAATTATCTATCGGTTTTTAGTTCCTGGGTCCAGATCCGGTGCGCCAGTTGGGGACCTCAGGGAGCCGCAACAGAGAGGCTAAAGAGCCGCATGCAGTTCGCGAGCCGCAGGTTGCCGACCCCTGGTCTAGGCCCTTTCCAAAAAAGGCCATTTGGAGACCCATGGTAACATACCTAGGCTGTGTAAAAACGTGTATTCATAATTCAAACTAAAGCTTATTTACGTCGATATACAGTAATCTATAAGTCATTTCGCCATTATTCACTTTCTTAACGTCTCAAACTCTCAAAAACCACACTTTCCATTTAACGCACGGACGCAGGTTACTTCCGCGTTCTGGCTTTAAATCTAACCCTTGAAGCTGTGTATCGTTATTTTCAAAATTTCATTGGCTATACGAAGCGTCAAGCTTTACACGAAAGAAGAGGGGCAGGCACTTTCCTTCAACGCAGACTCTTGTCGGTTATTCTAGGCTGTAGACAGTACATGGAAACTCCTATTGGGTCAAATGAGGTGTCAATCTAAAGGTCAGAGTGAAGCCACCATTTTGAGACAGAGACCGGCAAAATTTACATGCAAACTGAAGTTACCTTCGAAAATATATAAATAATTCGGCATATCTGCCGGCTAATTTGAAATGATGCAACAGCAGTCCGTGGGTATTTATGGACGTAATAATGTGTTTTGGACTAAATATTTTACTGGATTGGATCGCCCAGACCTTTGGCAATGCAACACTTTTTTGGGAATATTATCGATGGGTGGATTGCTATGAAGCTTCATCAGTGAGTTGCCTCGATTTTGTAACTGCTTGTTTGTTTGTTGGTGGTCTGACAGAGGCGTTGATTGTAGCTGCTGTTGTGATTGTATCTTGAAAGGGTTTGCATAAATCGAATCACAAGAATCTTGGCTTTCCAAAGATATGTCGCATCAGTACCTACCTATACATAGCAGTTGTGTACAAGTTTCAGTTTAAAGTTTACACAATATAAATATATGTTCCTCCGTTTTATTTAATGTGCTTCTCTATAACAGTACATGATAGAGCCCTTTTGATTTAAGATTGTTGGTTGTGTCTCTGATTAGTTTAATTGATTGACTTGTAATTACATTGACCCCAACTGTGTTCCTCAACAGGCCAAGGACAGTAGCCTGGTTTGCTTTGGCTTCACTCATTTAAAATTGGCATTTGAAGAAACAGACAGGGGTATAAGGTTGGAAGCCCAAGCGGAGAATGAAATACAGAAAGGTGAAACGGAGAAATAGTTCCAAGTGACACTTCTGAACCTATAAGGGTTAAAGGACAAGAACTAAGGGATGAAATTAAAGGGCAAGAGATTGAAAAGGATCAAAGAAGAGCATGACTGAGCTGTATGTAGCCCAGTTTAAGAGGTTAGAGAAAGGCTGAAGTAAAAAGACATGCCAGTTCTCGTGTGTGTTTGTACTTGTGCGCGTGTTAAAGCTCACCTTTAAAGATGGGGCAAATTTTCCAAACTGTAGCTGCCCCTTGCCTGTTGTACTGGCCCAAGGCAAGCTCCATGTAGAACAATGGCATCCCCGCAATGACCAAGAAAAGAATGTACGGGATCAAAAAGGCACCTGGAAAGAGAAATAATTACATATCATGCTTCACATATTCCTTGCTAGTGTTACGACCGGCTCGGGAGTCGCAATATATAGGAGGGACACAACACCAAGTTAGGTTAACAACAACCACAGCTGCCAGTTTATTTACAGGACACAACTGTAGTGTACAAATCCCACTGCAGACCAGGGTCTGGTGCCAGGCAGATGAGAGAGAGCGAGGGCGGAGCAAGGAGGTGCTTATATAGGTAAACCACATCCTCATCCAGGTGCACTCAATCACTCGTTAGGGAGCTGCACCTAGAAGTCAAAAGACACAGAATACACACACATGCACACCCAAGCAGAAACATTCACAGCAGGACATAGAACCATACGTAACACTAGCGTGACTTATATTTTAGCTGTTAGTAAAAACAGGTTCAACATGCTCAATGTGGACAAAAGTGCTAGACAAAACAAAATACCAAAAGAAGAAAAAAAATGTGGGGGGGGGGGGTTGATTAGGGGTCTTGACATTGTTGGAAAAAACAACACACCATAACATGCAAGCAGGAAGGCTCACAGCTATTTTCATGCTGGGCCTCAGTAGCACATCCACCAACAAGGAAATGACCTCCCATAATTGAATTGTTCTTGACATTGTCCATCACAAATGACACATTATCTACAGTAATGAATACATTTTGCTGAGGGCCAATATGATTGACAGGCCAGCGGTGGAGTTGACCCTTTGGGGCACTGAGCACAACATGTTGATTTTCACCACGTGAATGGACACGCAGGCAAACAAGCCCTCTGATGAGTGTTGGGGGAGGAACAACACTGTTTAAAACAATCCTTTGTTTATCAAAACACACACACTGTACTTTCTTTTCTCTCATACAGGGCAGCTTCAGCGGTGGAATCGGTTCCTCTTGTGTTCAGACATACTGAGTACCCTGAGCTCAGAAACTTGTTTTTGAAAGTTCAATTAGACCAGGCAAATAAACCTGACAGTATATTTTAAACAAGATGAATCCTATATTTATATAATTTGCAAGTAGATGCTAAAACATCACTTCATGACTCATTTGACAATACAGGTTGATTTTAGAGCTACAGTGGCTTTACACGTGTACACTGGGCTGTCCCGATATCACATTTTCACTACATGATTATCATGGCCAAAAGAATTCACGATAGCAATATTATCGCCAAATTGATCTTTGACATTGTTTATTGTGCGTTTTGTCCCATTTTTGGCAAATGAATTACACTCAAAATACCAGTGGATAGAAGTGGAGGGAGAATCTAAAACCATAACTATATACAAAATAATTTAAGAGGCGCTGGATAATTTAGACAATATCATCTGTGTATTATGAACATTATATCAATATTTCATTTTTGAATGACGGTTATCATCACCCTACATGTACATGTCTTTATGAAAGGGTACATTTTCTTTATTATGTAAGCTAAAACGGTCTCTCATGATCAATTAATGGATTTAAAGAACTGAAAGTGGCAAAATATTAAAGCCATTTTAAAATCCATGCATCTTTTATCTGTAACCGCTAAGTCACTGCGGGGCTGGAGCTGAGCTTACATTGGGCGATTTTAAAATAACAATGTAATTAGTTTATTAAGACAGAGTTTGTACCTTTTTAAGAAAAGAAAAAGTAAAACCAAACATTGAAGCTAAAGATCTCTAAAACCACCTGTTGGTGATTCAACTACTCTTCTTCCCACCCTCTCTGCTCACTACAGTGCACCTTCAGTTTTCAATAGTTTTAAGTGTGGTTATCTATCCAGACTTGCTGAGTAACCAAGAACCCGGACAGTCCGTGCAGTGTCTTTATCCATGTGCATTTGTTTTAGAAAATTCGGTATTTCCTTCATCATGTCAGCTACATTAAATGCACTCTCCCGTTAATACACGTGGGACCATTAAAACGTTCATTAAGGAGATTAAAGGAACTATTAGAACAACATCGCAAAAATTACTGTAATCGAATCTGTCTGTAGTATTTTATTTGACAACACATTCGTATTGTTGACTTGGAAATAGAAATAGGCAGGCTTTGGTACCTGACCCATAAATGAAAGAACATCAATGAAGAACAAACTACTATCATTGTAATTTACAGTGTAGCCTACTAGCCGACCCAGTCACGCCTGGTATTCTATATTATTATGTTACTATACAGGGATTTAGTACCCGAACCTGAGACCATGGTACATTTGTGACCTCTTCAAAATGTGTAGGCATCTGTATCTGAAGTCAACTCACCTCCTCCATTTTTGTAGCACAAGTAAGGGAATCTCCAAACATTGGCCAGGTCTACTGCGAAGCCAATAACCGACAGGAGAAAGTCCATTTTCTTTCCCCAAGTTTCTCGATCGTCCTTGATGCATCCGGGAGGACCTGCGGGGTGGCCAGGGGTGGGAATGATGGAGGAGCTGGTGTACTGGACGCCATTCTGGTCCTTCAACAGTATCAGTTCTACCTCCTTTTTCTCCACATTGCACTGTTTCAGCGGGGCCACCGACGAGAGCTTGTGTTCTGGCAGAACCTGGATATTCATTTTATCTGCGGTGCTCGCGAAGCCCACGCTGACCCGGTGCTCTCACGGCCCCCTGCGGGTTCTGGCGGAGCTGATGGTCCGGGTCGGTGCTCCCGAGGACGGCAGTTCCAAGCGAGTGTTCTCCGCCGAAACTGCAGCTTCTACCCCCGCATACATGAGCTGGAGAGGAGGGAAGAAAAACAGAGTTTGGAGAGGTTTGGTGTTTGTGCGTAAAGTTAAGACAGGTTGGGATAGGTGACAGTATTCTTCATATAATAGCAAGACCTGACAATACTATCTGTACAGTATTAGGATAAAAACATTCTATCTGTAGGCTGATGCCCAGCAACAGCAGGTGAAAGACCCTAAAGAGCGAATTCCTCTCCACGTAACGGCGCGCGCATGAGCCCATTGTGCGCTAAACAGTCAACCCAATCAAACAATCACCTAAAAACATCCCTCATGAGGATAACGAGAAAAATAAATGGTTATTTGAATATCTCCCCGTTACTAAAGCAGTTCAAAGGTGTGCGGCTCAAAGTTTTCCCTCCGTACTTTGTGCAGCTAGGTACGCATCTCCATGACCCGATGCTGCTGCTGTCCAGACGCATCTGAGGGAAGACTGCCCATTCTGAAGGAACTATAAGACTCGCCTTCTCCTGCAGGGACGATATAAAATGCGAGCTTTTAAATCGATTTGCTCTCTCTCTTCCACGTGATATTTTATAATTGAACACTTTCTCTCCATTTTTGATGTGGACTTGGCATGATCGCTTTTTTCGTTTAAGCTCAAGTTCCCATAAACTTCTGACTTGTCAGTGCAACAATCAGTTGGGATGAGAACATAATAGTTCGATGACCTCTTACTTTTTAGATAAATCAAATATTCCGTTTATAAACCTTGGTTTGAACTTTATAAGCAATGGGTTTGTGTATTTATTCGATGGAGACTTGTTCCATGTCAAGAGCAGAATATAAAGTCAGATCATGTCTTTGCTTTTCGGATTGGCACTTTAATTTAACATTGTTCAAGAGACATAAGACCACGATACCTTCAGCTTCACATTAGTCCTTTACATTTCACATGCAGAAAAACTTTTCTGAATGTTTTAATTTGGACTTTATCTGTTTTTTCTCTGTACTAAACAGATTGAATTACAGTTTTCTAAGAAGCCATGAAAGCATTGTGTTCCATGTGTAATTCAATTCTACAGCAGCTTTAGCCAGGGGCAATGCTTTTTATTAGATATGGTTGATCAGTTCATCCCATTAGAGTCAATTAATGTCCTCTTTGCTCCCCAGTGCTTGTTTTATAAAACCCTAATAGGGCTGGTTTTGGACGTTTTGTTTGTGAAGATTGAATAACTGCAAGGATGGTAAAGCAAAGGACCAGGTAACATGGAAGGATAATGTGTTATTACTGTTGTTTTCTCCTGAATTAGTTCTATTCTTTTGCACTTGGTTTTGTATTGTCAGGTAACTCAAGCAAAGAATTACCAAATGTTTTGTGTTATCATGACCGGGTTTGATGGGGAGTGTATTTCTGAATATGAACTAGTGTGATGCTGCACATTCAAACACTGGCTTTCTTGAAATGTCAAGGCACACATAATGTGCAGTATTTGATGGACAATGTCCCTCAGAGGTGACTTAAAGATGTAAAGCAGGTGCATATTGAGAACAGACAAAAACAAGCTGCACCCGTAGAGGTGTAGACTGCTGAAGGGAAAATGATGTCATCCTTCACCTCGATCATCCTGGATTCCACCTTCTGTCTATGTACAATTCTTGAGACCTTCCTTCGCTTTCTTAAGGTTCGGGCTCTCCCATGTTGACCTGAGGATGGGAAGCTAATGAAACAAGACGCAGCCTCTCTGCAGTCACAGTATGACTGTCTGGATTTAACCTGTACATTTGGATATGGGTCACCGCAAAGACCTCTACTTCTGTTCTCACACACGCGCGCGTCATTACAACCTTTCATCCACCTCCTCAGTTGCCTGCCTATCTGCGCATTAAAGAGTCAGCTCTACGTCATAAAAACTTGCATTAACTCCATGGTACAAATAAGAGTGACCAAAGATGTTTCACTCTCCAGATAGGCCTTCAAGACATTTTGACTTGCCACAGTAGGGAAAGCACAGGTGTAAATAATTAAACTGTTGATGGCTGGATTCCATTTAGCTGCTTTAATGTCAGGCTCCTGGTATCTCGCATGCTTGCTCAGTGTCACTCTCACTGGGACTCTTGAATAGAACAGAGCCATCGTTAGGGTTATTAGAAACAACTGTGCTGTTCCTGTGATGACAAGTCGAAAATGTCTGCTGGGAACAAGGCCCATTGTGCTGTGTGAGCCAGGATTCTAAAATTATTGAATTTTTTGTTTTTTTCATTCCATAGATTAAAGTAGCAGGTCATTACCACATGGTAATGAGGTCATAGTATTCACAATGAGTGGGGTTTGTTTTGCACCCCAAAACTCTCTGGTTTAAATCTCTCCTGGCTCCACAAAAGGAGGAGTGTCTTTAAGCTTCTCTCTCTCTGGGCTTTGCTAGTGTCTGCAAAGTTTTAAGCACCTCAGCAATGTTAAGTCTCATTCCCTACATGCTGTATACATTCAGTTGGAAGAAATAGCAGTGTGAGTCAGATGTCCAGTCACGGAGAGAAACATCTCTGAGCAGCACAAAGCACACATCTGGGAAATATGGTGTATACATGGTGCAGGCCAGTAAAGAGTGTTCCTCAGCAGCAGCCCCATCTTGTGCTTCAGCCAACATACACTCCAAAATAAGTCTATGAGAATGTGGTGCCATTGTCCTCAAAAAGCTTATCATAATAACCAGTCTCCTTCATCTATATATCAAAGAGTTTTATCTTTCACGAAGTCCCACCCCTTCAATCTCCAAGCAACTGGTGAATGAAGAACACAATAGGCGGCACACACAAGTTGAGTTTGAATAGCGGGTAATAATTAGGGGGCACAAAAAGGGAGGCTTGACAGCAGGAGGGTTGGCATTATTGCTGTTTGAACTGTGAGAGAAAAGAAGTGTGTGTGATTGATTGGCGAGTCTCACGATTCAGATTCAACTTACATCTCCCATAGGAGAGGCATATTAATATTCTATACAGACATTTCTAATGTTCTCTTATGGAATTGTTGCGTAAGACATATTGTTGCCAGAAACACATTATACTTACTGTCATTTGGCTCCTAGAAATAAAAAGAAACATTGTGAGACGAGGAAAAAACACATTCGATCACTGTTACGAGTGTTGAGGGATGAGTTTGAGTTTGTTTGGAACTTATAAACACTTACACACATTATTTGGCAAGTCTCACTGATAAGTAAAAGACAAATGCCTTTTCCACCACCTTGCTCTGACCCATCTTCAAATAATACACAGGAAAAGTTGTTGCCCATCATCCAAAAATCTGGAAAAGAATCAAACGCAGAGATGTGAAAACCCCCAAACACTGCAGATACCTGCATTGGACAGCTGATGTTTTATACTGTTTCCCAGACCTTGCCCTCACCAGGACCTTCACTATTTCTATAAACCATCACACAGGAAATGAGGAACAATCCCTTTCCTGAGAGAATAATAGGAGAGAGAAAGTCAACAAGCTGTCATATGGTGTGAAAAGGAAACGTAACAATGAGGTTTGGAGGAACTCGCCGAAGGGCTGAAGGAGACAGCTTGCCAGGCTCAAAAGTGCAGGAGTCAATATTGCATGATGTGTGTGTGTGTGTTGTGTGGGCGTGTGTTTGTAAGCCCATGACTGACATCAATAAATGTGTAGGTATCCACACCAAAGCAGCGTCTATAGAAGCAAACACTCATCAGAGTTTAATGAACTCTTTGCACTGAGTAGCTGGACAGAAGCCGTGCATGAGAGGACAGAGCAGTGGGACCATATTTACAAAGGTATCTCATGTTGCCAAGCATTGTTCAAATTCAGAGAAATCTATGATACTGGACATCCCAAAGTTTGAAAGTTTGCCAAAATACCCAGTGTGTCATGCTGGATTAAAGAAAATGGTCTATAAAATGATGTACTAGACTTCTAGAATATTTCCGTTGGAGGATTGATACTGCCATGACAAACCAGGCCTCTTAGGTTTAAATATTTCTTTCAACTAAGCATTGAATATATTACCTATCAAAGGCATTGTTTCAGTCGTGTGAGGAATGGGAGAGAATACCTTTTGACTATACTTGACATTTTCTCTCCTTATCTTTACAGTATTTTTTTCACTCAGTAGTCCAGCAACTAATCTGTATCCTGTAATGTTGATGCACACTGTGCTAAATGTTTGAAGCCATACATCCTTGTTCATCATGCAGGACAAAGGAGGGCTCACAGGATTGTATATACACAGCCAGGTATCCTGTTGTTATAAGCAGGAAGGTCTATTCTATAGGAACATAAAGCTAAAATAACGTATTCCTTTTATGTAACGCTCCTAAAATGTATTTGCGTTAGCAAGGCCCAATTGCTTTTCACTTAATAAAAAAATAAATAAAATTGTCTCTTGAACTATTACACTGTCAATGACTCTGTCTATTGTGTCATAGTCATGCAGGTAAAACTTGCATCTGAAGCAAAGTCTGTATATTCTGTATAGTTAGAGATGTAAAAAATGTGTTCATACTCTCAGTGAATGGGAGCATTAGTTTAAGTTAATGCATTACCTTGTTACATTACATTACAGAATTTACCCTCTTTGATATGAAGCTATTAACGCCTTACATTAGGTGAAATACCCTAAAAAGAAATTAGAAATAAATAGCTGACTTGGTCTGAACTTGTGCAGTAGCCACTGAGACTCACACTCATGTGGCCTGAGGAAGCACGGCTACCTGGTTCAATTGAGAGACACAGTACTGTCACATCTGTTAAACTGCGAGGCCTGTCTGTTCTGACCTTTCCTTCCAGCCTGGACCAGTGAGCCCCTCCCCCCCCCCCTCCTCCCCATCCGTAAGAGGCCCGTGTCCAGCAACAAACAGAGGCTGCTCACTCACTCAGGTCCTGAGGAGACCAAATTGCATTACCAACACATATCTCTCACAATCTACTGCGACAGGATCACCCCCCAGGCAGGGCTGAAGTAGATACAGCAATATACAATAGCCATGCAGAGGAAAGGCTGGGGGAGGGAGGGAGGGATGGGGAGCTGTGGGTAGGGAAGGAGTCGCACTGTTGTAAGCGCGGCAACAATGTCACTTAATTGATTCCATGCCATCTCATCAATTCTGATTAAAATGAAATGAGCCTCTGTACGTTTGAAAAGGTTAAAACAAATTGAAGTTGGAAATCACAGCTGGTAATCACAGTTTGTCTAACAGCGAGCTTTTAATGAAGCGACACGCTCTCCATCATTCATTAATTTCAGCCTCCTCTGTGCATATGGAGCAAGACGGCTTTTTCTTTTTTCTGTGTGCGTGTGAGCACATTCACATTCGCAGAACGCCATGTGTTGGGTTTGTATTAGCATCCTGGCCTCCTCACAGATGAACTTTTGACAGCAGTTGAGCTGGAATATGCAGTTGTGCCAAAATGGAGCCAATGCTGGACCAATAAGCAAATGGATAACTCATTTGTTATAAAAGAAAGGGCCTATCTGATGAAAATGTTTATTTTGTACATGTTATTTAAAGAAATTCTTTGTTAGAATAGACAAGCACATTTATCTAAAACTGCGATCAAACATCACTAACTTTCCCAGACCGTGGCAATCATTTAAATGGGTACAATATATGTTTGACATTCGCCGATTACTTCCTCACTAGCAACTCGATTATATCAAGAAAGTAAAAATCCATCCCATTATTATTTTCGACCACGTTCCAGTAAGCTTTACTTTTATTAATGAAGCCACCCATAAACCATGCACAAGATGGAGTTACAACACATCATCACTTGTAGATTCTGACTTCAAGACATCCTCAAACTAAATGATTCCCCAACAACCTCACCTCTGGGAAACAGCCAAGGTAGTGATGAGAGGAAATATAATCCTGTGCTCCACCAATAAAAAATTAAAAAAAGAAAAGAAGGGAAGACCAAAAACGATAAAAAAGAACTTAAGCAGAGAGTAGGAGAACAGAATGGCATCTTGTAAATCTAATGTATAAAAAAAAGAACTTCCAGGGACAAACTTTATTACATCCTAAATAGGACGACACAGTTTTTCAGACAAAGGCTAAAACATAACTACTTTGAACACAATGACAACACAATCAGGAGAATATCTGGCAAATCAACAATTAAAACTCTCTATCGCAACCAAATTGCCAAACACTTACAATAAACACATTCTTTGACAATATAGATCTCCCCAAGATAACAGAACTTCATGAAGATATCTTGGACTGACCCATTAGGCTAGAAGACTGAGAGAAAGCACTTCAAGCCATATCGAATAACAAAGCACCTGCATCAGATGGTTTCCCCCCTGAATTTTAAAAGCACTTTTGGGCCACGCCATTATTATTCATTAGGACAAGAACAGAAAGTTACAACGCCCAACATCCCACCACATCCAAACCTGAAAATGATCCTACTCTGTGCTCAAGCTACCGCCCTCCATCACTCAACACATACATCAGAATTATTAAGTAAATACTGTATGTGAGATTAGAAAAAGTTATCCATATTTTAAATATAAATGATATAAATCTGCTCATATCACTTTATGATTTTAGTTATAAACATTCATAAATATTCATAATGCTCAATAACAATAATCATAACACATTATAAAGCATCTGATATTGACTTATATCTATTTAAACTCCCATTGTTGTAATACATTATAATCTTTTTACAATGCATTATCACTTTACTAAGTTACTCTTAGTTCTTTGCTTTAAGTAAAGTGAAACAAATATAATTACATCTTTGCATAATCAACACACAAAACGTTGCAAAATACATTTTTACTTTTTAGTATAACATCTATAAAATTAGACCATCTTATCTAATTAACCAAAGCCTCCACCATCACCGTCCCCACCTCCGACTGGGACAAAGATTTATGGATTAATATTGATGCAACCCCATGGAAACAGATTTATTTTAATTATTATTTAGTTATATACACTTGGTCTTGCAAATGCACAAATTTAATATTTAATAATAAATAAGTAAAACTCCAGGCATTGGTATTGATGAGATCAGTTTCCAGGGTGAAATGTAGACCAAAGAAGGAAGTTGTTCACAACGTTTGGAACCCCGGCTCAGATATCAGAATCCATCGAACACATGTTATAGAAATAACTAGAACACTAATGGGGGGAAAAATGACTTTCAAATTGAAACAAATCACATATGGTATATGGAAACTTTTATGGTGAAGAATCAACACGTACATTACATTGCTCTCCAAGTCTCACATTCACATTTTATAGTGTTTCTAGTCTTCTTCCACCCTCACAATGAAAACTGTTTGGGTCACAAAAAAGTCAAATGAAGAAATGCAATGCAGATAAATTGAGCAATTATAGCACATAAGTCGTACAAACACAATTAAGAAATTGCTCTGTTTTCTGTGCATTTGTGTGTATATTCAAGATCAAATATCAACTTAAATTGTGTGCTGGTATTAGAGTATAAAGGTGATGATAGAAGTCATTCATATCGTGCCTTATCTTCAGTTTCAGTGCCTTTCAGTGCCATACTCTAGCTCTATCATCAATTTAAAATACAGACTCAAATGATACAAGGGGTAAAATTCAAACTGATACTTGAAAGTATAAGAACAGCAAACACACACGTAATGGAATTATTTTAGGTAACTACTGGCACCTGGTGGTGGTTTAGAGAATCAGAAGTACTTCCACAGCCCCTTTATTGCACCTTGCTTCATCAAAGACGAAATCTACGGAAGTCATTAGTTCCCTCAGTGGTGAATATAAAAATGAAGGCAATATTAAAATTGTACTCTTTGTTTTATTGTAAAAAGCAAACTTTGCAGTGTTAACAAAAAAGAAAAATTACATAATTGCCATGCGCCTTGCTAGATAAATAACAGTGCCGCTAGTTAATCTGAAAGCATAACCCGCTGGGATATGATGTTGTGAAGAAGCACTGTTGCCTTTTTGCTCACAAATTGCCCTATTTTTCAGTGGTTGATTTGCTTTAGTAAACTTAAAGCTACATAGACGTGCTGCTGTCTCAGCAACAACAGTCTTCAGTAGAAATGCAAATAGATACACATGCAAAGCAAACCTCTGGCTAATTATACAGCCGTCTTACAATGCGTCCCTGAGCACTGAAAAAAAGTGTAATGCACAGCATGTATGCTCTTCGTAGACGTAGCTTTAATACAGAACATCTGTGGGTTTGCCAGATTGGAGTGATCTTAATAAAGCTTACTGTACACTAATTATACTGCAACACAGAAGCACGTGGACTCTTTGCTTATACTTAAAAAGGTGTTGGTTTGGCAATTTTTCTTTACTCATTTACAGAAGACTACAGAGACAAAGGAGAAGGTACACAAAGCTACTTTCATCTAAGTCCAAGCTAGGGTAAGCTCAGGATACACAGAATGATGTATCGAAGTCAAAAACATGGCGAGTCAGTTTAAGTATATCATGAAACGTTGTCACTAACGTTACACCTCTAAAGATTGCAGGGTTTCTAAAGTTAAAATGCACTTAATTCAAAATCCAGAGCATATCTGTGATGGATTGCCTCCACAGGGCTCTCACAATGGCAACGTCTGTTGCTAACAATGCTAACGGTGCAAACGGCGGCAACAGTCCTTACAGAGCTAGGGGTGTTAACCGGGAGGGGAACCGGAGGGTAGGCGTTTTGCTTCCGCGACAACGCTGCGGGTCAGGACGCTGTTATCAGCTGTAACCGCTGTATGAGCGCACTGGGACTAACATGCAGGCGCATGTCCGCCACCGGACCGGCTACGTAAACAAAGCACAGAGAAGCGTTGGATTACAACATCTACAGAAGAAGTGTGTCTTCATTCTTCAGGACGCCATTACTCCACTATATCTTTACATAGCCAACGGTTGTTTGCTGCTATGTTAATGCTCTGAATTTTGAATTTAGCACCTTTAAAACAGTGAGGGGCCCATGTGACTTTTCTGACATATTTCCATCCTATATCCTACATTTTAATTTATTGTATTTTTTAAAGATGAACACATAACCATGACACACCCACACACAAAACTTTAGGCTTTTAGACTTTTAAAAGTCTGCAATACGGGGAGTGGTCCTTGGAAATCTCTATAAGGCACTAAAATTGAAAATAGAAGCACTCTAAAAACTATATATAAAAAGGCAAGCACACAAACTATGATGTGGATCTGCTGTGGCAAATGACTTGAATCTGCTTAAAGTCAGAAGGCAGATGACACTTTTTCCTTTTCAGTGCAGTGGCTACAGTGTTCCGTCTCTCAGAGCAGTCAAGGAGTGTTCAGTCATCTTTTTTGTCAGAGGTGCTGTTTTCCTGTTTTTCAGCTGAACTGGTTTGACCGGCTAATTCCAGATCACCTGGACTCGCCTCCTGGATAGCTTGGTATCTCTGAAGCTCCAGGTAGGTGGAGAAGAGCTTAGCGTACTCCGGGTGGTTCATGGCAAAGTCTTGAAATTCAGCTGAAGAAACACACACACAGGCACAGAGAAAAAAACCCTCAGGATACAGTGTAGCTCAGGATAAGGGAAGTACGAACAATACTGCCGTTTATATTTATTGTACATATTCCCAATCCATAGTATGCCCTTGGAAGAACAAAATGTAGCGTCCGAGTGTACTCACTGAAGGTGATGAAACCAGAGCCGTCAGCATCAATCTCCTTAAAGAGTTTGGCCATGTTAAGATTGGACACACCCAGAGCTGAGCGCAGCAGAGCAGTAAACTCCTCTCGGGTGATTTTCTCATCCTCATCTATATCAAACAGCTGCATGAGAGAGGACAGGAACGGAGAACAATATAGTTCACTTTCAAATTGTGGCATGTTCAAGAAAAATACTGGTTGTTGAGGGTGTGCAAATAGGTAGGCGGGTAAGAAAAAACGAAATTACTAAATTTCAACATTTCACTTCACATTACATAAACACCAGTGGTTTGTCCAAAACCACATTTGACCTTATTGCCAGCACAATGACTCCATCCTCTCCACAAAAGACAGACATTGTTAACTTGACATTATCCAAGCCTCTCTGAATGCTGCTTCTGTGCTTCCTACAGTACTGTCTGCTGTGCTCGAATGTCAGCTGTCAGGCAGGGCTGGCTGTTTCAGCTTAGACTTAGTACTTTTGCATTCTGTTATTTTATTGTCATCTTAATATTTTCTTTTTATAGTTAGTATAAAATGTAAACATCATATATACTTTAGATATAGTAAACACACATCATTTGTCACAGTTTCTAGTTACAGCATCGCAGAAATGTCTGCTTGACAAAAAAGCATTACAACTTAAATTTACCAAGGATAGTGTCCAAGAAATCCAATCAACATGATTAATATGGAACATTTCTGATACAGTGGCGATTATTCGCACGCACAAAGCAGTCTTAAGGAGCACTCGCTTGGGTGACCTGATTAAAGATGGATACTACCATACACATTTCTGTATATTTGTATGCACTGTGCATTCAAATACAACAGTGCATATTCTTGAGTCCCAAGTAGGAGCAATGTCAGAATATTTCCGTGTACCTGGAAAGCCATTCGAAGCACATCTTCTGTGTTAGCTGGTCGACACAAGATGGTCACGCCGATAACATACTCTCTGAAGTCTATGGTGCCATCTCCGTTCTAGACGGGGACAAAAGAGACAGCCATAAAAATACTTGAGTCTGTTAATGTGCGGATTATTATTATGATGGATGGATGGTACTTAATCCTTTATGGTCTAGAAAAAGAGTTTAGTCTGGCATCAACAGTTTTGAATGTTAAAGGGAGGATGGGGAATTTCAAGAGTAATATATGTTTAATAGCATAAGTGATTTCTATAAATCGCTATTCTCTGTTACTGGAAAACGATGAGTCATAGTATATTGGAGGGAAAAGGAAACTCATTGAAATGGATGTAAAAGGGCTGTTTTTATGCTTTACACCACCTCTGGTTGACATACCACTGACGGAGGCCAAACTACTTTGATCATAGTTTCCTCTCAGGCCGTATAAATCCTGAACCCACACCATGTTTACTTTAATCAGTACACATGATATGCAGTGATTGATTCTGTAAATTTAATATTAAGATTGTTGCACATTATGTTGTCAACCATTATATTTACAGGGCACGATAGCTTCGTGCAGTATGCGTTAGGGCCAGTTTGACTGTACTAAGATGTATTCTAACACACACTGGCTGTGTGTCAATCAAAGGAAATTCAGTATTTAAGTGTCATTATCTCAGCCAGGCGTAAACCTGGGGAGAGGTTATGTGTTCGGTTGTGTGTGTGTGTGTGTGTGTGTGTGTGTGAGTCCCTGCGTCCTCGACTGAGTGACTGTGAACCTCTGTGTTTGTCCTGCTACGCTGCATCCAGAGACACAGCGGGGCGAAAACAGTTTGCAGACTGTTATTGTTTTGGACGGTGCGTTTTGGCTAACAGCTAATGGAACTATTTGATATGCTTGTCTCTCACCCTGTCAAACAATGCAAACAGCTCCTCGAGGGCTGGGTTGACGGGCAGCTTCAGGAATCTGGCAAACTCCTCGATGGTGATCCGTCCCCCTTTACAAGAGCTGGCAATGGCTGCGAAGCTGTCCAGCTCCTTCTTCACATTGTCCCACTTCAGACTGAGAGAGCAGTGCACAATGAGGAGGTTGTGGTGTACTGTCATTCTTTGCATTTTACATCATTTCTTTTGAGCTACATAGGTTGTCAGGTGTGTGATAGACAACACTTACAATGACAAAAACAGCAACTCTCAAGCCATATCTTGTAATTGTTGATGTCCCTGCCTGGCGATGCCTACAGTGTACTTAAGTGAGATGTTCTTACTTGAGTTTACGGCTAATTTTGGTGAACTCAACCAGGCCGGCCTCCATGGGCAGCGTTAGCTCACCAGCTGAGATCATCAGGCGGCAGTCTTCGTATGTGTGGTCTGTCACTGGAACTCCCAAAGTCCTGAAAGCAGACAGATTGCACATGCAGGGGTCAGCTCACAGGCCTGTGATGCTCTTAAAGAGCCAGGAAGACATGCAACAGTCAGACAGATCAGAAGAATGCAATAAGCAAACTCATTGTACACTATAGTAGTTCTAACGTCAGTAAGAAAGCACAATTATTGGTTGAATATAAACCATGGCCATTGTATTAAACAGCATACTCTCCACCACTAACCACTTATTTAATTTTCTCATCAACTTACATGTACTCCATCTGTGTTTAACATTGTATTCATTAACTGTATAAGCATTTAAACTTTTGTGTGCTTGAGCAATACACAGTGGAATCTCCATTTCAGACCAATTAACACTTACTGGGCCATAGTTTCTCGCACTCTGCTAGCAAACAGAGGAGGGCTTTTCTTCTCCTCCTCTGTGGGGATATGCGTTGGCAGAAACTACAAAAACAGAGGAAACGGGCAAAGAATGTCACATGGAAGGTCAAGCAGAAAGCAAACTCCAAAACCTTTGCATGGAAACCAAATCCCTGAATGCAGAAGATGCATCTCGTGCTAGGTTTGATATAGTATCTTGGAGAATGCGCTGCAAATTAAGGCTACACAGTCCACACACTGGCAGAGGATGTCACTGATACTACCAGTAAAGCTGAACGCGGTTCAATGCCTCCACCAACCTGTCAAAATGCAGTTTACATCCATGTCTTTCCAAAATGTCAACACTTCATCGTATTAGACATAAAGTGTTAAAATTATTATAACTAACATAATAATCAGGTCACCCTTCGAGTTCAAGTGATGTTTGTACGAAATGTAATAAAATTCCTTTCAGTCGTTCCGGAGATATTACATTCACAAGAATGGGACAGACGTGAGGTCACGGAGACAATGACAAAATCTAATCAGTTCCTCCTTGAGACAAAGTGAAGAAAGTGAAGAAGGTCCCTCTTTTTGCTTTTTAATCTACAAAAATGATTTATCATTTATATCCAAAGAACAAAAACAGTTTGTAGTATCTTTGCCATAATAGTAAGATGAACATATTGGGAATACCTGTTACCTCTATCTCTACTGTGGTGTACAGCTGGCACATAGTTAGAAGCAGCAGCGTCCTCCTGCACATAAAACAAGAACGACAGTCGGCCACATATATCGATTCCACAGTACAATAGTTGTTGCGGTACAAGGCAGTAATGTTGCTGTTATCGTGTTATAATCACGTTTATTGTCTAAGAAAAAAATAACAGCAAACACCACCTTCAGAAAACGTGCATACTATAAGTGAAACATAAGAACATGTAGAAAACATCCTTACGAGCTGAAACCCTGCCAAGTCCAAGACACGGTATCCTAGAAGACATGCATAAAGCTTCATAAGACATTAACACTGAGATACAATGGTATATACACGTTGTGTGATACAGCCTGTTGCTATCAGTCTCTCATTGGGACTTTGACCTTGCCGTTCAACCAGCCAAATCCATAAAAACCGAACAACTTGAGAGGTTGCCAACGATGTCACCGAAAAGATGTGCAGATTCAGCTATCTGAGAAATGCACATGCTTCTGCTTGGATGGATAAACTATCAATACTGTAATACACTGTGTGTTCAGTAACCCAACAGGATGAATGTCATCTCTGACTCTGCCTCAATATAATTATCTTCTGTGCAAACTAGTACAATGTGGCCTCTTTATGAATGTGTCTCTCAATATGTGAGGAGAAACAGATTAACGCTGTATTACAATCGCTCACCAGTTTGTTGGGATATCTCATAATCACAGGCTGCACAGGGACCCCGGGAATAAAAGCACCTAGAGGAGCGGAACACAGCGTGAAATACATAAACAACAGGACAATGCACAAACCACATCATGGAATAAATGAATGGAACAGTGTAGTATCGAGTGTTCTTCCTATTGTTAAACCATTCCACTCAGTTGATTCGATTTAAGTTAAAGGGGACATATTATGAACTATTCACTTTTTTTCCCTTTAGTGTTTTAACTGAAATACTTCATGTGGTATAAGCAGCAGAAGGAATTATATTTTTCTGTAATAATTTTCCTTGTTGCACATGTACATTTACTGTACATTACATTCATTTTACATTTCATTTCTTACCTTGTTTGAAAGTGATGAGACATGAGCGATTTGTGCATGTTCCCTCTGGAAATATCAGAACCTGAGGAGACAAAGCTTCATTACTAAATGTTAATATTACAAGTAGTATCAAGAAGACTTGCAACCTGCAAAGTCTGCTTTTGAAATAATGGTTCTTGTATTTGAGTAAACATTGTATGCGCTTTGGCTAGTTGGGTGATGGTGTTAAAAAACAAATATAATCATAAAACATGGTTCACTGACAAAGGAAACCGTGAAACCAAACCAGCATCCAAAGTTAAGGATCTTAGGTTTTCTAAATTGGCAAGTTTGAAAATGTTCTCTACAGCTATACTAAGTGTGAATACAAGGTAAATATTAGGGGCACTTTTGCTGGAGGGGGGGGGGGGGTTGTTTTGTGTGTTGGGACAGACCTGTGGCCAGCGGCCTCCTGACTTGGCTCTGCTTTCAATCTCCTGGATTGTATTCTTCCTGGAGTCTGGGTCCTTTCTGGACACCAGCACTGGCTGAAGACAGCGCACAAACCCTGCAGAGGGGGCAAAACACCAGCATTAACATATACTCTTAGACGAGGAAAATACTAATGTTTTGTCTTATTGTTTACTGTCACTTTAATGGGCAGGCCTTGGTTAATTGCACGTCTTTATTGTCATATTGGGATTTAAAAATTGAATGATATCCAATCGGCTGTATAAGATGAGAACTTTGCATTTCGTAGGTCTACGTAACAAGCTTCCTGTAATTAAGATCAATGTACATAAAAGGTGTTTGCAGTCAATACAAAACATGAGCAACATGTTTCACACTTTTGTATATTGTCAAAAGTACACCCACACACACACACACACACACACACACACACAAATACTGGAGGTTGAGAGAACCAGAAAGCCCCCACAAACACACATTCCCTTCCTGTTCTGTTCTGATAGCACAGCAAAGTATCTCACTGCCAAAGATGGGTGTAGCCAGATTCTCAACACGCGAGACGGTGGAGGGCAGGCCTGCAACAAGGCACACAATCCCATCAAAAAAGGTGGAGTGCGGGGCCACAGCCAGGATGGGGGCCTCACTGCTGTTGACTTGCTTGCCCTTGACCACCACTCTGAAGCCCAAGCAGAAGTAGTAAGTCCTGCCCAAAGCCGCCATCACTCTCCGACACATGAACCTGGAAAAGACCACCATGTTTTAGATTACTGAGTTTGAGAAAAAATGTTAATGTGTAGCTCAAAATGCATTACTTTGTTTCACACTGTTATCAGCCATGTTAAAAATGTCTCTTGGTAAATCATCATCACCTTCAGGGTCATGCGGCAGTGTTTTTTTTTTTTTAACAAATGGACTGAGCAGAAGTGTTTCAGTAACAGGAAGGATTACACCATTTTGTACTTTTCTTGAATTTTACAATCACCAGTCACTTCCTCATAAACTAGAGGAATGGGTAGGAGGTCATCGTATAGATTTGAGACATTATGAATAATGATGTGGAACTTTTGAAACATTTATCAAGAAGTATCTGACTATTTTAAGCTGCATTCATCTTTCTGCTCAACGGAGCCGGAAGCTTAATGCGACGCAACAGCTTCCCCCGAAAACACAAAGCATCAACAACACCTTGATATACTGTCAGCTGATCACGTTATGATGGCTCTCATATCGACTACTTAAATAAGCAGAAGGCCCAGAGCAAAAAAGAGCAACGCTGGCTGCCATTTGGAGTTTTGTTCAGATTCAATGGTAACATCACAAACACCATTACTTGAAACACCATGTTGTCAATTTAATAAATACTACTTCAGATTGTGAAATTTGACGAGTTAACAATCTTGTCCTTTTCATTGTAAAACCAAAACTTCAGTTATGTAACCCCCTTGAGAATATCTGAGCCTGTTCACAGCAAAGCAATAAGTAGGGGAGAAAGATAAGCTTCTCTCTCATTTCTGTCGCCTTCACCATATTTGGTCATAATCGTTTAAAAAGCTGGGGCCTAAGGTCACAGGAATGTTCCTGTTAGCTGTAGCGCTTCTCCCTGTGTATACAACGTCTGCTATCTGCACAGTTGAACAGCTTAAAAGGCTGCACCCTGTTTTGTACACGGAGGTAAAACACAACGATTCAATCACTACTAGACATTTCATTTTGTCAATCTATGAATTATGACATGCTAAAGTACCTTAAAACATATTCTCATACTGTGTGGATGTACACTGTCCATTATATGCTGGTTTCTATTTATGAAGAGATAAAACACTCGTTCAGTTAGCCCTCAAATATCACTGACTCTTTCCTCTCTGATAACTGAGGGGCGCTGAGCTTAAGTAATGCTTTGTGGTGCAGATATGATAGAGCAACATTATTCGGTAGTAATGCCAGCTGCTGCACATTCTTCAAGCCACGTCAGGAAGTATTATTTGGAGAAGATGCTGCTGCCGCTGTGGTTTCCGGTCCAGTTTATGAACGCAGGAAATACATTGCTTCTGCTTACTTCTTCGTCTTTGCTTTAAGTAACATGTATTATGTTAGTGCAGTTTTTTCTGCTATGTTTACACGCACTGAATAGTTTGGCTCACCTCCAAAATAAAGAATATTATTAGAGGCCAACTCCCTCTTTGTAGGCGTAGTAGTCAAAATACATATTGTCAGAATGTTTGTAAATGCAGCTGCTTTGCATACATAAAACGTTTGCATGCCGCTGCACTGGTAGAAGGAAGTGAAAAACAATGTGCAAGTGTGTTTCTAACACCATAGCCTGGGTAACTTTGCATGCATTCGGCCAAGCTTATTTTACTTTAGCAACCAAGTGGAAAATAAATAATATTATCTCTGTAAACAAAAGTGATTTAAGTAAGGCAGCTGTACTGTGCAAACAGTTTTAAGCTGTGTTGTGATTAAGTGAGTCTGGTATTCAGGACATGAAACATGATGTGAGTCTGAAGGATCTGGTGGGTGTGTGTGGTGTGTATGGTAGCTCCGTGGGATGGCTGTTTGCATCATGGTTACCGTCTCCAGCCTGTCATTGGTTCCACAGCTCCTTTCAGTGGGTGGTTGATGGTTATTATGACGGCCACTGGCCATGTCACCATCAGAACCAGGGACAGAAGGATGGCGCGAATAGGGACCAGGAAGATTCCCAGGAGGACACACTGCATGGAGAGGGGCGCACACAGACACACACACACACATCATAAATTGCAGGCCTATACCATGTAAGGGAAGACTGCTGTCAGGGTTAACTGCAGGCTGGATGTTGACATTTTTCAGAGCAAACATATGTAGGAGTCTGGAAATCCTCATCACTGGACAGCTTTTCTAGAAAGCACACAACGGCTCTCATTGTTTGTGCTTTACAAGCAGATTGTTAAATCCTCGTTGGAGAAGATTATCGGCCCTGGTTACACTGCAGCCTGTGTGTATGTGTGTAATCTCACATATCAAGTGTGTGTGTGTGTGTGTGTGTGTGTGTGTGTGTGTGTGTGTGAGCTGTATAGCGATGACAATATTCTGCAAAAGCGAAGCCTTTACATGACCATAGATCCGGAACGCCATACTCACTTTTATTATAGCAGCTTTGGTCAGTTTGGTGTCTTGAATAAACGGGTTGATGACCGCAGGCAGCAGCAGAGATTGTTGCCTCGGCAGGGCGAATACTCGCTGTGGCGGCATTGCAGTCCAGTGAACGAAGACAACGGGCAAACGTTTAAGTCGAGACGCCGTTATGTTATCATTTCACTTCCTCAACGGTGACCCTGCTCTCTCATTTCTCCCGTGTCGGACGGTGATCCGGCGCTATCGCGACCACAGAGAGGCGAGTGCGGAACCACACAAACGCGTTCAAGCTCCACCTCCAACGTGGTCGCAGCGGGGGTATTTCTTTTTTTTAAGCCTGCAGACGGATTTTCATCCATTTCTACAATCTGTGAAAACTCATTATAAGTGTTTGCAGGATGATATTATTCCTTCAACGTATTTCTAATATATATTGGAATGTATATGTAAGCAAGAAGCCAAAGTGGTGCTGTCCGTGGCCATGCATGCATTTGCTTTGTCCAAATACTGATTATAGGAAACTATAATATATATTGATATTTTATCAGTCTGTGCATATGTGTCCAACGACACCAGAAATATTAAGCAAGAGGCGGAGAAGCAGCCATTTCAAGGGAGAATTGGGACGTGTTCGTGTATTTGTTCACAAGCTTTCATAAATGTCCACATGATGGCGCAGTTTCATAAACAATTCTCATTTGGTGCTGCCCTAAAACGAAAGTCATAACTTCTGTATTATTATGCAGTGGTGGAGGCAAGTAGTCCTGCTGTACTGAGTGCCATTTTACAGTACTTTACTTTTACTTTACTTTGCATAGTACTTTAATTCAACACTACTGTGTCATACTTGTACTTCACTATATTTTACCTATAGGAATATTTTAGCCTAAATTTTACTCCACCGTGACATTCATTTTACAGCTATACTAGTCACTTTAGATTAAAATGTTCCATATAAACACATGATAGAATAATGATATCCTCACATATGCATTGGTAGTCTTATATTATACATATATTTTAACTATATTCTATGTTTTGTTGATACTGGTACTTCTGCTCAAATAAATTACCTGAATTAATTGATAATTTGTTTCTGAATTCACAAGCTTAATGGTGAAAGCCCATAATTGCATCAATCACCCACTTCAATTATTTTTGCAAGTACATGGAGTCATTCCGTTGTTTTTCACTGATCCACATTATATTGACCATCTTTATTGATGACAGTAACAAAGTGCACAAGCATTAAAAACAACACAAAACACAATGACTGTATTGTTAAAAACCCAAGAGAGAAAAGAGAATATATAAAAAAAAAACGATAATTAAACAATACTACTGCGGTACTCTTGACATGATTCCATCATGCAGCAAATCAATAAAGCCTCTGGAGGCAACCTGTGCCTTTAATCTCACTGTACCATTAGTGAAGAGAATGCAACACGAAGTTGCATGACAATAATTTGGTCCCCTTATATAGTCCTATACAAAGTGCTAATCAAATGAAGAATAATGTGTGCCTGCGAAAACTACTTTCTAACATTCAGAGGATACTAAGTAGTCAGACATAGATACACAGAATATAAAATGTGTGTGTGTGTGTATATATATATATATATATATATATATATATATATATATATATATATACTTTATGTAGATAGGACTATAAGCAAAAAGCAATCTCTAAAGCACCAATTTTCGGTCAAACACTGCAAATGAATGTTGTCAAATGTATTGCACAACAATGAGAAATTAAAAGTGATACATTTATAAAACTGCACTTATACACTGGACATAGAAGTAATTCCAAGCCAACATGAATACCTCACATGGTGTGAGACAGCTTTTCAGAATTCAATTTGCATAAAACGGCAATATCTCACAGCACAGTATAGCACTGCGTTCAATGCAGTGTTGACATACCTGATGTCTGAGTTAAAAAAGGAAATAAACCAAAAAAATAAAAAAAGTAAACCAGGGGGTACATCTTGAAATAAATCTGCATCAGCACAACAAATAAAATGTCAACATCACATAGTAATATAGCAAATGTCCAGTTGCCTATGTTCAGCCTGGGTATGAGGTCCACGAGGTGCCTCGCTACAAAGCTGGAGGCTGGTTATACAGGCTGGAAGGGACATGTCTCCCACAGAAGCGTGCAGAGTTGCCAGGACAAAAACTTACAACAGTGTGTACTGCGGCGACCTCAAGTTGTGTGCGGTATTATGGCAACGTCCTCGTGAGGTCAGATATCATCATTTGAAAAATGCTCAACAACCGAGCCAGTCCTTTGTGATTTCCCCCAACTTGACAATCTTCAAGCTGCTGTCTTCCAGTTTGAAATAGTGGTGTCCTTTGAAGAAGTAGCTGTAATCTGTTAAAGACGGGAACAATGCACACTTAGTTAATCATACTGAAGGTATAATTTCCATTTTAAATTTCTTGTGTAAAATAAGGGAAAACTACCATGTAATAAGAGTACAATAATCAAGCTTTAATAAAAGCAAACAGACTAATCAGCTTCAATCAAAGTGAAAGGTATTAGAACATGAAATCAGGCTCTGCTAAAGCCAATGTTAAGCCTGTCTGAATCATGCTAATCAGGAAGCATACAGGCACCTCTGTAGAGGGGCACAGGCTTTCTTTATATAAACATGTCTGTCCACTGTGTGAGGCAGGGGCTTGATGCTTACAGTAATGTGTGTATGTTAGGAGAGCAGTGATGGAAAAATCCCTGGTTGCTTGCCATAGACAAAAATCTGCATACCACCTCTAACCTCAAGGATACATGGCTGACAGCGACGGTCTCAGGGGAAGTTTACCGACGGTGTCATGACAAAAATTCACCTCCATACATTTCTTGCACTCTAGTTGCAGTGACCTAAAGCTAACAGAACTCATCATGAGGTATTTACTGGCAGCAAATAAAAGCACGAGAAACATAAAGCAACTGCTCCTCCTTAGGCTACAGATGACTCCCTAACTTCAGAGCTACTCCCTTTGGCCTGTTGCACTTCCCCATTTTCAGTCAGTTCCTCGAAACTGTTCATTTCTGGCTAGATGGCGTCATTGCTTGCTGGGTTGTGGTATACAGTATGACGGGTTTTATTGACAGAGGCACAGCGCAAGACTTGCTGATAGAGCTGACTGGACATGCCTGCAATTTAACCACAAGGAATGTAGCCCGAACACTGTAAACATGCACACAAAGCAGCAGCTCTAATCCAGCTCTAATCGAAGCACCACAACATCACAAAATCCCTCTTTTCCTTCGGTCTTTTTAAAAAGTCAAAGAAAGGACACCTTTGGCCATATTGTTTCTACTCTTTCATTTCCAACTAATTCATAAACGTTATTTGAATTTGCATATACATTCAGGTACACATAAAATTTGACTTCTGCATTTCACTCGTCGTAAGCATTTTGGGAGCAGTGGGCTGCTGTAAAGCAACCTGTGGTTAGAGGCGGCCTGCTCTACCCACTGAACAACAGGCACAGCTGAGGACAGTGAGCATTGCTGGTTTACTTCTTTACAATTTTTTCATAGTCCTTTCAAGAGTGATTGGTATGTTAGTGTGGCATTTATTTAATGTTGTAAAAAATGTGCTTATGTTTGGAGTATTCATATAGGAATCACTGGTTAGTTTTTAGTCACGCTAGCGATAAGATAAGATAATCCTTTATTAGTCCCGCAGTGGGGAATTCACAATGGGTCTAGGGATGTCTTTCTATCTGTTGGTCCACCATTTGGTCCTGACTGAAATATCTCACTATTACTAACTATTGGATGGATTTCCATGATATGTTGTACAAACATTCATGGTCCCCAGAGGACTAAGACTAATGACTTTGACTTACCTCCACAATGACTTTCATCATTGTGGGGTTGACATTTTAGTTTTTTAGTGGAATGCCTCATCAACTATTGGATGGGTTACCATGAAACTCGGTACAGACATTCATTGTCCCCATGGGATGAATCCTACTGACTTAAGTTATCCTCTGACTTTTCATCTAGTGTCACCATGAGGTTGACATTTGTGGTTTTGAGTGAAATATCTCAACAGTATTGGGTGGATTGCCTTGAAATATCAGCATGTTAGCATTGTAATTGTGAGTATGTTAGTATGTAGCTTAAAGCACCATTGTAGAGCTTGGTCAAATGTCCCTTCTTGAAATTATACAGAGCCTCTAAATTGACAAATTATGTGAAAATAAAGATTTTTTTTTTTACCAATGCCATGAAGACTGAAAGAAGAGTCTATGCCATCTGGGATGCCATTCCAGGCATCTGCAATAAGTTTGGGGAAGCCAGGGTCCATTTTCTTCGTATCTTCATCGTATCTGTACACACAATGAAAGTGCATTTAAACAGTATAATCCTTTAACGAGTGCTTCACAATTCCATCACATACACACATAAACACAAACCCCTCATAGTTTTCCATAAAACAGTTAGTCGTCAACACTGTGAACTTCCATGTTGTGCAAGGGCTAACAGAGCCGTTGTGGTTTACAGTGCAGCTTAGGTCACACCAAACACTAAGTAGATCCAGATGTAGCACAGTATTGCAAACAAGACGTGATGACACCAACAGCACAAGCTACGCTGTGTCAGACAAGGGCTTTAGGCTCACAAATGGTTGCATACGCTTTGCTCCCCCCTCACCTCCAGAATTTATCCCCAGCAAAGAAGTAAGTCTTCTTGTTCTTCCTAAAGTTGAAGGCAGCGTCGATCCGCTCCAGGTCAGTGGGGAGTTCAAGGCTGGAGAGCCTCTTGGGATAGCCTTTCTCCAACACATCTGCCTTGTAGACCCACAGCTCGTTGCCTGGAAGGGAAGAGTTAGTAAGTAACACAATAGAACCAGGGATGAAATTGCACTGAAGTCATATGTTTTATTGATGGAAGGTAATTATCTTTACACAGAACTGTCTGATCAAGGTATTATCTCACATTCCTACATATCTATTAACCAAATATATTACCATAGCCAAACCAGCCCTGCTTCAAATGTCTTCGAAGCTGACAGATACATTATGTAACTTTCATCAGTATTCAGATAGGTTGTCATATTAATAAAATGCAAAGAATGTAAAATAAACCACTAATAACTATGGTGGAATATCTGAAGTGTCCACAGAGTGCACACCGCACACAAGAGTGCCCAGCCAACATCCCTGCTTTTCCTAATGTTTCAGTTCGTAGAAACGCCACCCTTAAGTGAATCCAAATTCTTTACTCATTACTTCATTACTCA